GGAAATACAAGGACTTCGGACTTAGAGAGGTTCAGTTTCAGGAAGCGCGTAGTTATCCATTTTGAAACAGTGGATAGACAATCAGTTACAGGAGCCAACAGATTGGGGGAAAGATCCGGTGTGGAGAGGTAGATCTGAGTATCATCACCATAGAGGTGGTAATGAAAGCCAAATGATTAGATAAGGTTACCAAGAGAGGCAGTGTAGATTGAAAGAGAGGTACAGGGGGGGAGGTGGAGCCAGTGAAGGAAATGCTGGAGGAAGGGTCAGATAGATAGGAAAAGAACCAGGCGAGGGCAGTGTCATTGATGCCAAGGAGGGTGAGTAGGACCAGCGGGTGGTCAACAGTGTCAAAAGCAGCCAAAAGGTCAAGAAGAATAAGAAGTGAATAATGTCCTTTAGATTTGGCTGTTACTAGGTCATTAGTCTCTTAGATCAAGGCAGTCTCTGTGGAGTGTTGGGGGTGAAAACCAGACTGTAGAGGGTCAAGTAGGGAGTTGGAGTTCAGTTAGTCTGTGAGTCGGGTATGTACCAGTCTTTCAAGGAGTTTGGAGGCAAAGGAACAAAGAGAGGCAGACTTACAAGCTTCAGGGTCAAGAGACTGCTTTTATAGTATGGGTGTGATGACGGCGTGTTTGAAGGAAGAGGGAAAGATGAAGGAGGTAAGAGAAAGATTGAAGATTTTGGTGAGAGAAGGAACAATCACAGAGGAGAGAGGACGGATAAGGTGTGATGGGGTCGAAGGGACAGGTGGTAGATGAGGAGGAGAGGCAAAGACAGAAACCTGGGAGAAGTCACTGAGTGAAGAGGATGAGGCTGAACAGAGTGTAGGTTGGGTTAGGGAGGGTGTAAGGGAGGCAATTTCATGTTGGTTATTGTTAATCTTCTATGTAAAAAATGATGCAAAATCTGTAGCACAGAGAGAAGGTGGAGATAAAAGAGGTAAAGTATGTTTGCTTGGCTAGGGACAGAGCAAGAGTGTAGGAGCATAGCATGAATTTGTAGCTTTGGAAGTCAGAGGTAGTGTGCGACTTCCTCCAAAAAAGTTCAGCAACCCTAAAGCACCTTTGGAGGTAGCGGGTGGAGTTAATATGCCAGGTTTGGCGCTTAGGTTGGTGAACAGGACGGGATGTGATGGGGGATAGTTTATCTAGAGTGGTAGAGAGGGCATAGTTATAAAGGGTAGTGGCTGTGGAGGGGCAGGTGGAATTAGAGATTGCTGAGAGGAGATAGAGAGAGGGAGTGGAGTGTTGGAGAAGTTCGAGACTGTACAGTGAGTTAAGAAAATATGGTCTAAAGTGTTGCCAGCTTGATGGGTAGGGAAAAGTGACCATTGTGTGGGGTTGAAGGAGGAGGTCATAGAAAGGGATTTGGAGGCTTCGGAGCTAGTAGGGGCATCAATAGGGATGTTAAAGTCTCCAAGAATAACAGAGGGAGTGGAAGAGGACAGGAAGTGGGGGAGCCATGCTGAAAGGTGGCCAGAGTGACCAGGAGCACGATAAATTATCGCAACTCAAAGTGAATAGGGGCAAAAGAGGCGGATGGTGTGAACCTCAAAGGATAGAAAGGACAGAGAAGGTACAGGAGGAATAGCCTGAAAGGTACTGTCAGGTGAGAGATCTGGCTATGGAATATCCCTCGGTATCATCATGTTTAATGCAGGTCAGTGGATCTGCATAAGACGTTATGACATCAGCAGTCCTTAGATCGCTGGAGCCCAGAAGAGAAGAGGTTGCGAGGACAGGTCTAGCAGCTCAGAGGGAGGTGGTGGGACTGAGGGTCAAGTAAGTAAATAGGCTAGCCAAACAAGCAATTAATCCTTGCAGTGCAGGTGTAGCCCCACTGCAAGGGCAAATTTTTGAGTTTCCAAGAACTCTTCTTTAAGGTTTGTGGTATTAAAGCAGCCCATTTATTAGGGGCCGAAGTGTAAACAATATTACATTTTGCAAAGATGTCTTCTGGTAGTTTGATTTTATACAATATAATTCAAAGGTTATAACAAATTATAACATTTTATGCCTTTAGGAATGATAGGTAAAATTACACCAACTGTAATACAAAAACTACAAAGCTTTTGCAAGGTTAACTGCCTTTGAATCAGAAAAGCTAAGCTTCACATGTACTAAATACACAAACTTCAGCGCTAGCACATTTCATGATATGCTGGTGCAGAGCTCCCTCTTGTGGACAAATTATAGAACTAATTTTTAAAATGACAGGAAACCTGTCATGAGAATGTAGGCTGTTATTGCCTCTGAACATGCTGGTTGCTTGACTGTCATTCCGATCCCTTGCTTTTACTACTTTTAATAACCAGTACACAAAATAGGAGTTTTGAGTTCATGTGCTGCATGCTTGTTTTGGATCAGTAATTCAAAGTGTTAAAGCCTAAGACCGCCCAGCAATTGGCATTTTCAGAAGGAGGTTAGCATCACTAGTCCAAGTATTTGTCTCCTGATAGCTGTAAAGAAAATACATCATTATTAAATTACAGTGTATAAGGTTGTGTTCATTTAGTATGTCTTTTTTTTTTAAATATATCATCTTTATTTATTTATTAATTATAACATTTCAGGTGGTCACAACAAAGGAATCACATATTCATCTTAGAAGTGACAAATGCATAGCATATGAACTACAAGTACAGCACAGGAGTGATGGATTCATATTAATCAGTATATTGAGTAATAAAAATTGTTATACCTCATGTGTCCTCTGGGTTTGAAGTGTCTGGCTGCTTGATTGGCCAGGTCCAGGTGAGGTAACTCCTGCTCATGTGCACAAGCTACTTTTTCTTGGTAAGAAATACTGCCAAGACTATGCACCAAGCTGCGTGTTTGCTGCTTAGTGTATAGAACAAATGTGCTGAAAGGCAGATAGAAGGATGTATAACTAAAGAGACTTACACAGTCCCTTCTGATATAATAGGCCCGCCTGTCAGCACTTTTTAAAAAAAGTTCACTTAACTTCCGCTTTAAGGGAAGGTAGGATGAGGGCAGAAAAGCGAGAAAAGTGAATGGGAGATAGGGTGGGTGTAGGTAGGGAGGAATAAGGGATATTAAACAAAACAATTATCATTTGGGGGTGACACACAGTGGCAAAGCTGTAGCAGTATAAAAGGTCAGTAGTAATGCAAAGGCAACAGTTTTAACAGTTTTGTTTTGGCTGGTATGGAGCACAAATGTACATAATTTACAACTTATTTCGGTTGGCGGTAAAGTGGAGCCACGTTGCCCAAATATTGTCAAATGTATCATATTTGTCTTGACAGAAATGTACCCATTATTCTGCCTCTATAATGTGATTAACTGTAGAGACCCATCTCCCCTAGGAAAATAAGGGGAGATGGAGTGGAGGTGCAAGGCTTCCTGTTTTCCCATAGTCTTAGAGTATGTATGATAAGGGGTGAAATCATCCCTGAAAGGCCCTTGTGGCCTTGAGGAATCCATGGGACATGGGCTAGATTACATCCTGCCCTGCATTTCTCATAGCTTTTTTGCTTTTTCCCATGGAATCACCACCTAAGTATTCTGGTCAGTGCCACTGCTTTAAAGTAGTTGTATAGGTTAGGGAGCTCTAGGCCTCCCTTGGCTTTGGGTTTAGTGAGAATTTGGAAGGCTCATCTTTTCAGATAAAGGTCATAAAGGTCATGAAAAGCCTTCTGGCTACCAGGATTGGATTCATCCAGAGGAGAAACAAAATTCACAGTAGGATGGTCATTTTTATATTGCTTATTCTTCCTAGCCAAGTGGAGGTAATTTTGTTCCAATCATCAAGATCTTGCCTAACTAAGGGGTGTATTGGGGCTTTGATTCTCCCATAAAGGAGTTTGAAGTCAATGGGTAATTGTATGCCAGGTATGTCACTGAGTGCGATTTCCATTTTAAAGGGAAGAAATGTTGTGGAAAGGAAGCCATGTCCATATGCAGTGAATCAAGCAACATTTCAGACTTGGTGAAGTTTATTTTAAAGTTGGAGATATTGCCAAATTACTTTAATATTGACACACGATTTGGAATGGCGATTAGTGGTTCAGATATGTCAAATAGAATGTCCTCTGTGAATGCATATGCCTTTCTAAATGTTGTGTTGTAGAATTCCCTAAAGTGAAGTTTTAACCTCCAGAACCTCCAATTTGCAGCTTCTATGCCAATTATCATGATTGCATTTAGGTTTGGCCACTCTTTTTTCTGCATATCCAAGACCAAAAAAACATACCCAAACTTTAAAAAAAAATCACTATCTTGGAAACAGGCCTTGCTGTTATGGTGAGATGATATCTGAGCTTTTCTATCAAGCAGTGCAACCAAAAGCCTATCTTACACTGGCAATATGGTAGCAGTGATTTGTAGCAGCTACAGAATCGCTATAAATAATTACTGTCTATTAAAGGTCTGTGTCGTGGAAATTCCTAATGATTTGTAGCCCATTCACTAAGTGACTTACCTTTTTAGCTTCAGTAGCTATTCCTATTATCCAATGCAGCAGCTGATAACCATGGTTCACCAGCAAATTGAAGATTTAGCATAAGGTGAAACATGAGACGTTATGAAACATTAAACAAGACTGAGCCCTTTATGACAGCTTATGGCATATTTATTCTGACACATGCTGTGTACCTGCTTGTTTGAGGTCGGTTACCCTCTAAAAAGGGAAAGTAGGATAAGGATCCAGGAGCTTTGCCCTGGAAAATGGCAGCAGTGAGAAATACATACTGTATTGTACAGCATCTAGTTAAAAAAAAGCAATGCTAAAAACTATCCTTAGAGGTCCGGACTTGCTTCATAGGACAATCATAAAAATATTTATTTCTTCTTGGAACATAACCCTACTTTGCAATAGTGTTTATACAACTAATCAACAGATGTCTACATTATTACAATGTTTCAATAAAAGTGAAAGTTAAAAATAAATTCAAAGTAACATTAAAGTTTCAGTACACTTTGTAAGTACTGTTCTCACTACATTGTACTAAAAGTAGATTTGTTTGCCTCTTAAAGGGAGAACGAGGTTTACCTGGTCTACCTGGCATCATTGGTTTTCCTGGACTTCAAGGACCTGAAGGACCACTAGGACCATTGGGACAGAAGGTAAACATTACAAAGAACTGTAAATAGCAGTGTTATATAACAATAACACACTAAACTGTTTCTGTTTTTTTTTTTCTGTTAAAGGGTGACACTGGTGAGCCAGGACTTCCAGGAACAAAAGGAAACAGAGTAAGCCATAGTATATATGCAAATGTTGTTAACAGTTACTATTAGCATGTGAATTATATTTAACTGTTCCATAACCATAATTAATATTAGAGTGGAATAAACAGAGCTGAACTGACACCACTAATAGGATTTACTGACTTCTGCCACAGGGTACATGGATGCCTGGCTAGGCAGCAAGTCAAAAGTAGCTGTTCTATTAACTTGCATATGATTTTGGAGTACTGTACACGACACACTACAGCTATACTCCCTGTAGAGTTCACTAAGAGGTATCAGCTCAGCTCTGTTTGCCCTTTGTTAAAAACAAGAAAGAATCATTGTTTAACAAAACTCTGGGACCTGTTATCGATCATGGAAAGCAGAAAATTGTGCCCAGTCCAGTCAGAAACCACATGTGCATATTTAGACATGTAAATTTCATCTCGTTCTGAATGTAAATGCAGATGACATTTTGTGAATTTGGAGATTCAGATGAATCCAAATGTCTGAATTCCAACGAGGCAGAATGCAAACAAATGTGAATATTCAGTTTAACGAAATTTTAGATCATCCGAATTTCGTTTACAAAAATTCGATAGATCCGAATAATGAAATAAAACGGCGCTTGGACCTGAATAGAAAGAACGCAAACTAATTTTTTGCTGGCTTACATGCCTATATATCATTAAAGGCAAAGGATACTTCTACTGTTAACAACACTTCACACCTTTCTAATTAGGTATATTATTTTGTGTTAGTTAAAGAATAGAACAGTGTCAGGACCAACAGCACATATGGTTAGGGGAATTAGACACTCCTCATGAGTGAACAAAATCATGGCTTGTAACTAAAAGCTTCAACAAAGGATAACTCAGAAATGATAGTCACATGAGGCCAAGTCAGAATAACAGATAGAGGAGGACAGAAAAACCTAAACACAAAAAGATGGGAGGTTGGGGCTTGGCTTGTACCCAGGCATGGGTAGAAGGTGAAAGCTCCATAGCCTGGGCAAGCTCTTCCAAAATGAAAGGAGACATGCAAGCAGCAGAGGTTAAACCAAGGTAAGTGTATATGGAAAGAATAGTGCAACAAATAGAGGGAACATAGAGTTTGAGATAGCAAGATTGAATCCAGACAATACCATTGAAAATTATTTTACACAGCATCTTAAAATTAATTTTAAAGCTTTAAATGATCCTGCAGTGTGCTACTCACTTTTACTGTGCGCATAATACAGAGCCTTTCACCTTTACATGGTTATATGCTGGTATTTTTATATTTATTTTGTGAGGTGGTCAAAACATTCATCCTATAAAGTAATTTATTTCCTTGTCTTTTATTTCAGGGGCCTTCCGGAGCAGCCGGATTTCCAGGAAATCCAGGCCTACCGGTATGTAATGTTTGTGAAAAAGTAATATATCACCTGTGAAAATATTTAAAGATCTTTACAACTTGTTTTTTTTTAATTACCAGGGGATACCAGGACAAGATGGCCCTCCTGGCCCACCCGGTATTCCAGGCTGCAATGGCACAAAGGTAAAGTGTATTCAATTGTTTGGATGCCTGTAGTGAAGCGCACATGACTGGCCCCCTGTGCTGCTTTTCCCTCTCCATCTCTAAGCCCTGCTGTACAGACTGTACAATAGACTGCAAGCTACTGATACCAAGTCAAATTTAAGTACATTTAATGATTTAATAATGATTACAGAGCTGCATCAATGTGTGTCTTTTATATCTGCCTAGACTTGACGAGGTAGTGGCTTTTGGCCTAGCAACAGAAAACTGCAACAATGCCCAATGCCCAATACACAGAAACAAAAACAATTTGCTGCGCAAATGACAGCTGGGCAGAGCCAGCCGTGATCTCACGGCTGGCTCCGCCCAGTTTTAAATGACAGATCAGCGTCCCTAATTGACCTGGGGACGCTGATCTGTCATTAAACAATAACAACTGGGCGGAGCCCGGCCAGCTCCGCCCAGTTATTATTCATTGGCCTTGACCTGCTAGAAGACTCTGGCAGGTGCCCAGCTAGCTGTCACTTCTAGCTCCATCCAATTATTATTATTATTTTTTTTCAAATTTATTTTTCTTTTCTTTGAAAAATGTTTCTTCTTTTTAATCTTCCTATTTTTTATAATTTTTAAAATAATTTTGCAATTTTTTTTCTTTTCACATTCTTTGCACTTATGTTCTATTCTGCTCGGTACCATGGAGGTACTGAGCAGAATAGCTGAGCTGAATACCACTCGGCGGCATTTGGCTATTCACCTACTGCCATTCGGCCCCTATGAGAATGATCCAGATGTTGGATTGGCTGAGTCGAAGTCCTTCTGCAGAGCATGTTCGGCTGACCGAAGGCAGCCGATGTACGGCTGACCGAAGGCAGCCGATGTACGGCTGATTTTAGGCGATGTACGGCTGAAATCAGCCGTACAAGCCAGAAGTGAATAGCCGAACAGTGTTCGACTCACTTCACCTCGGCTGGGTTATTCACTCGGCTGCCTTCGGCAGCTTTGTGAATAACCCTCTATGTCTTGGTTGAAGCAATAGGAGTCATAGCAGGGGCAGGTCCAGAGTATGGTATGAGAAAGCTTTTCATTAAAAATTGTTTTATGTAGTAGGAGATATAAATATACTGTATCACACAGTTTAGGCTGTGCACCTACTAGTCGCACCAACATGCCAGCATTTTTCCAATGAAAGTGTAATTGTGACTGGGTGCTGCAGGGTAACTCATACCATTTGAAAAATAAATTACTTCTAATAATGCATCATATAAGGGAATCTCATCTACAGTATGTATATTATCAATTAGAGCCTAAAATAGCCTCTAAAATAGCCTAAAATAATCCATACAAATCCAGATCTTTTTGACATTGTTCCTGACTCAGTACCCCAAGGTAAGGGATTATTAAGTACCTGCTTAACTCCACTATATCCTTGCAATGATTAGAGATTTGTGATATAATCCAATGTAAATTAATACAGTTTAGTCAGTTTTGTAGACCATTCAGAAATGGAATGACATTGTTTACTCAGCTTTTTTTTTTGTTTGTTTTAATTGGTATATTAACACAGAACTTTTCTTTGACTGAATTTGTAGGGAGAAATTGGACCTTTTGGACCTCCTGGCCTACCAGGGCTAATTGGTTATCCTGTAAGTGCCATGCCTTTCTCAGTGTCTAAAATGTCTTATTTGATGATCTATAGCTGGGGTCTCAAAGTATCTGCCCGCGGGCCAATTTCAGCCTGCGAACTGGTACTGTGTGGCCCGCAGCCAGCTGACATTTCAGGCATGCGGTCATGGACCACGTACCTGACTTGCAAGAGCTGCTACATGGTCTACATCTCTGTCAGATGCCGACCGCTTAGCTGCTCCTGTCAGCGCCGTTGTTTCTTTCGGCTGGAGCTCTGACAGCTCTGAGCTCCTGCCGAAAAGATGGGGTAGTAAGGTCTGCACCAGACCGTACTTATCAACCACTGGATCACCAGAGATCGTGCCTCCTCCCTGCAAAGATGTAAGCAGGTGAGGGGGCTCGTTGGGGGTGGGTTAGGGGGGGAGTGTATTATTTTATTTGTGCAGGGGAGTGTATTATTTTATGTGTGTCGGGGGGAGCTTGAAACGGGGGAGTGTATTATTTCATGTGTAAGGGGGGGCATGAAACGGGGAGTGTATTATTTTATGTGTGCGGGGGGGATTGGAATGGGAGGGAGGAGTGTATCATTTTATGTGAGCCGAAGGAGTGTATTATTTTATTTGTGCGGGTGGGGATGGTAAGGTTGGAGAGGGTATTAGTGTGTGGGAGGGGGGTTGTATTTTTCTGTGTGTGTGTTTATTAGGTCCCATTCACACCTATATTTCAGGTGCGATTAGAGATTCTGTGTCAGGAATTTGCGGAATCCCTAATCTGGCGTTTACATGCTGCAACTATAACCTATTCAAGTTAATGATCAGGTGACAGCCCCTGCATGTAAATGCCTGCACACCGCATGTAATGGTATGTGATATGATTACATGCAGTTACAAAAACAATCACTCTCCCTGGATGCACGATCATGTTTCCAGGGAAAGTTATTGAATCCTAACTGTATTTAATCATATCACGTACCATTACATGTGGCGTGCAGGCGTTTACATGCAGCGGCTGTCACCTCATCATTAACTTGAATAGGTGACAGTTGCCGCTTGTAAACGCTTATAACATGCGCAGACGATAACACTGGTACTGTATATACAGTAGTTACATTTTATTTTGAAGCATGAAATTTCGCAAGCGGCCCCCGCGGTACTACAAAATTTGTCTACTGGCCCCTGAGTAAATTGAGTTTGAGGCCCCTGATCTAAAGTGTAGTTGGCCTGGACTAAACAATTTGACAATTACTAAAGAGCAGCAATATAGTAGCAGAAAAGTTAACATATCAGTAGAATATATCTAATTTAAAAGCAAGTTATTGCTGAATGCCAAAGTTATTAGTGAATACACCATGAACTGGCATGTTTTTTAAGTGATATAAAAAATAGCAATAATTGAAGATGATGGGGAAGATTCATCCAAAACCTGTTTTAGATTTGGTTTTAAAGCAGAATGCAAAGTACCTGAATATCAACTTCATTAACTGCAGAGAAAACCTTCACATATAAAAATAAATTGTAAAAGCACCTTAGACAACTTCTATCAGATCACATGATCCTGCTGTTCTGCTTCCAATTTCAAATAATGGAACCTAGGAGAAAGAATGCCGGCAAAGGCTCATTTGGTAACCTAGTCATTGACACTGGGAAATGATTTGCTCTGCAAAACAATCAGTAGGCATAACCCAGGGAGCTACAATGCTGTCAAATGCCAGCATTTCTGGAAACAATGAATGATAGAAGTGAGAGAAGCTGCTGTCATTGGTGGCACTCAATCACTGCCATTTTATAGTGGTGTCACAACTTCCCAGGCAACAAGATTTAATGTCTTTTATCTCAATATTGCTGCCTGTTGGCCTGAACAACAATAATGTAGAACGTGAGATAGAAAAAACATTTGCCTTGATAGCCACTTTAAAATGAATGGTTTATGTCCCCACAGCTATTTTAATGTGTTTTCTGCATATAAAACAGTGTTCTTAAAGTTATAACGGTATTTGTTATTTTAGGGTGCTCCAGGACCTTCAGGAACTAAGGTATGTTGCACTACTCATTTTCTATGGCTTACAACTGAAAATAACAGTAGAGAAATTGAAAATGATATACATGTTGGATATTTCATTTCCCCCATTCAGTGAAGTCACTACTCCATTGGAAGCTTTGTGGAGTCCTAGCAATAATTTACAGTTTGCTTCAAGAATGGTTTATATCATTTTTAAAGGATCATAGGAAATAAATGCATTTAGGTAACGAGATACAGTTCAAGAGAACAATGGAGAGAGCATATACATGTAACATGTACATTGCAATATCTGTAATATCATTGGTCATATTGATATGCTCATTCCCCTCAAAGGTCTGTTAACTTGTAACATTGTATCACCTTGCTAACATGTATTTATTTACTATGATCCCAGGTCCCATCTAGTAGCCATTATGCTGTATTTTCCCCATTCACCCTGAATGGGGGTTAAATCCATATGAAATAATATTCTACCAGAAGAGAAATTAAACTGTTTTTGTCCCATTCTTACAACAGTTGGTTACCTCACACAGAACAAATTTACATGCAGTTTTGCAGGATAAACAAGATATGCAGATTTGTTTTATAAACAGAACCCTTAGTGTGATGTGCAAGGTATATACATCTGTTGTTGAGCTGAGACTAACCTGTTGAAACATTTTAGTAGACTCCTGGTAAGGAATGATGGAAGGGACATACTTAGGAATGATGTGTATATGGAAGTGACAAAGAAGCAGTCGCGGAAACTGGATACAGATGAGGTTTAACTTCACCTGGGCGTGTAACGTAATTATAACTATGAAAGCTATTTCAAGATAAATGAGAAAGCCAAAGTCACAAACTAGTGGTCTTGAATGCATTCCTCAGGGGCCACTGCATGGTTTTTGGCCCACTTCATGGCTTCGATTGGTGTGATCTTTTAAAACAGCACAATATAAATACATGTCCATTTTGGAATTTTTTAATCATAGGCTGTTAGTGGTTATTTATTCCCCAAATAAAAAAAAATATATATGAAATAATATTGCAATATATGCAATACTATTACAATATAAAATTACAATAATATTGCATTAATATTACAACATATGCTGCCGTGATAACAGGTGTAGACATAAATCCAGTATAGAATGCAAATTAAGATTAGAATGTGAATGACAGATACTGGATTCAGCTACCAGGTTCTCTGAAAGCATCATCCCTGTTTGAAGGGTCAGAGCTGAAACTGCATTGACATAAATATTTAAAGGAGACTATCACAGGTATAGCTACAAGTTACACAGCCCCATACACTTTTTTTTCCTGGGGGCCCCCTCTTCTCAGGAATCCCCCTTTTTCCAACTACCTCTCTGCAGCACCTGCCCATCTGCATTCTTAATATAAGGACCCTTCACTATATATATTTCCCCACTTTGCATCAGTGATCAGTAGAAAGGCCACATCCAAAAAAGTATGTACTTTTTTGGGTGGACAGTCCATTGGTGGACTGTCAGTAGATAGGTTTCTCACTTTACAGTGTCTTGTTAATAGAAAAGCTCTCTAAAGTTCCCTTTTCATAGGTGATCAGTCAGAGAAAAGCCCCTAAAACGCCTGCTGCAATGTGAGGCTGCGAGAGTGGCTCACAGAGTCTGTAAATACAGGTACATTTACAGGATTCAGCCAAAGAACCAACCCATTGGCTGCATCCATGCAGAGCGCTCCTACGGCATAGAGAGAATACTTTTTTGAGTCCTATCTTTGTGTCAACTGGAATTATCTAGGCTAAGCCAGATGAGATGACCACATAAAAAAACAATTCTGTTCTTTTGACTCTTGCCTGTGATCAGAGAACCCTTAGGCAGTAAGGAAGGGACCTAAGAATACAGCAGAAGGAGGATGAGTTTAATCACTGACCAGGACCACAGGGCTACGATGTTGGCAGTTACACCTTTAGAGAATTGGCTTATAAAACATTATCAGGATTATTCACTAAAAGTTGAAGACTCCGGAGAAGACGGGAGAAGTGAACAATCTAGGCCAAAATAGCAGATTTGGAAAAAGTCTTCAATTCAGCTCACTTTTCAGTTCAGCTATGTTGTCCTAGATTGTTCACTTCTCCAAAATGTTCAGCCTTTTGTGAATAACCCAGTATATGTAGATAGTAGAACCTACACAGCTTTGGGTTTGTAAAGCAATTAAATATGTATGGCCCATTATCACTGGGTCTTTGTGCTTCTCTATGCAATGCAGGCACATCATGACTGGTGGGAGGAGGTGGCAGAGTGCTCAATATAAAGTATGTTTCTAAAAACATCACAGCATACTGTCTCAGCACTTTCCTCAGGAGCGCTCAGCATGGATGCAGCCAATGGGTTGGCTCTTTGGATGAATTATGCAAATATCAAAATGTCTTGATGTTCGGGTGTCATTCTCCACAGGTTACATTTCCATGCAGACTGCCCTAGGTAACTCACATGTGACACTGAGCCTCCATAATTAAAATGACTGAAATCCAATAAATGAAAGGGGTGAACCAAGGACAGTTAAGCTAAGGAGGGAAGAGATAGATGATGTGGGATGTCCTCCAGCCTGTAAAAGAGATGGGCTTTATCTGACTTGCTGCAGCTTTTATTGCACACTTTGAGCTTTACTAGTTTTATATTTTTTATTGCATGGAATATATACTTTGCATAATCATCTAAACTGTTTTTTTTAGGGAGATCCAGGAGATGTCATTGGTTTTATGACAAAAGGCGAAAAAGGATTTTCCGGAAGTCCAGGTTTACCAGTAAGTAGTTTCAATAGTTATGTTTTCATCTGATGCAATTATAGGAGGCATTGGGAATGCAGAGGGCTTCACAATTATTTATAGATATACAGTATATTAAACATAGGGGGTTATTCACTAACGAGCCAAAGGATTAAGGCGAACCTTCGGCTAATCATTTGGCACGCTTCGGCTCTTCGCAATAGCCCATACAGCAGCTGAAGGCAGCCGAAGAGCTCAACGGTGGCCAATCCCATATGCTGCGGTTTGGCTGAACCGAACACACAGCCGAAGTGGGGAGAACGGTTCTCCCCACAAAATGTACAAAAAAAAAACCCAGCATGGGGTCCCACTTCCACACCATACCAGACTCGTTAGGCCTGCTATGAATGTTAGGAGGGACCCCCAGTTAAACAAAATAAAATAAATGTGTGGGGTTTTCCCCAAAAGCCAGCCGACCCGACCCAAACTAATTTGACAGGTGTCGGGCGAATGTCAACAGATAGGTGGAGCTAGTGGTGACATCACCGCTGGCTCCACGCATCCATTGTCATTCAGCCGTAATCTGTTAAATTGCTATTAAAGGGCCCTGGACAAGTGGCAACAAATGGGCGGAGCTAGCAGTGGCATCACTGCTAGCTCCGCCTATCTGTTTACATTTGGCTGCCACCTCTCAAATTGTTCATTTTGACAGGTGTGGTCGGGTCAGCGGACATTTAGGGGGGAACCCCACGCTGTTTTTTAAAATTTGTTTATATTTTGCGGGAGGAACTGTTCTCCCTGCTTCGGCTGTGTGTTCGGCTCAGCCTACCCGAAGCATATGCGTTTGGCACGGCTGAGCTCTTCAGCTGCCTTCGGCTGCTGTACGGGCTATGGTGAACAGCCTGTACAGGAGACCTTCGGTTTGGCTGAACCGAAGGCTTCTCGCAGCCGAAGTGAGCTGAAGGATTAGCCGAAGGTTAGGCTTAATCCTTCTGCTCGTTAGTGAATAACCCCCTATAATTGTCACAGACAGCATTGGCCATACACTAAGGATTACAAACTTTCCTTTGAATTATATTGACTAAATAACACATGTATGTTTTCCAAACATTTCCAGTTATATTCATCTTTCTCTGAGGTATAATTGCCTGTTCATATTTACACAGGGCACACCTGGACTCCCCGGATTAGAAGGTCCGTTAGGACCTTCTGGACCACCAGGTCGTCAAGTAAGTGTTTTTTACCTTCTTTAGAAAACATCTCCCAAGGTACGTAAATGTGAACCTATAACACATGATTCTATACCAAACTCATCACCTGTACACCAATTATATACACTATATAAATATATTTATATATTTATACACTATATATTATTAAAATGTTTACTTAGTGCACAGGTATTGTTTGGATAATAGGACTGGAGAACTTTTGCTGTCTTTCTGATTCTACAGTAACCAGTAAAGGTCTGATGTAAGCCAGTAAAGCTGGCCATATACTGCTTGAATTTTAACCACCTCCCGATCGGCCGTGGTAAGTAAACGGCCAGACAGCGGCTTCTTGAATGCGGATAGGCGTTGTTAAACGTCAGTTCCTGCACTGCTCGTGACCGCCGTTAGGCGGCGGGCACAAGCGGGAAATATGTTTGAAAAGCAAACAGCTAGCGATGGCTGTTTACATACAAGCGTTACGGTGTCTGTAGAGACGCCCAATCTTGTAATATGTGTGCGGTTGTGCGGCCCCACCGCCACCACCATTGATCCCGAGCTACGTTGTACCCGGGTCAGGCTGGGACCAGCACGGCAGCTCTGTACAGCGAGATCAAAGGGGGATCAGTACACAATCTCCCTCCGATCACTCCTCCGGTCTCTGATTGCAGGAAACTATGTGCATTACATCAATTCCGCATTCAACTGTCATTCTCCAGCTTCTGTAGCTGGAGAGATGCTGGTGAAGCAGATCTCTGCTTCATCAGCTTCTCTGGGGGTCCCTAGGAGACATTAGGGGTCTTAAAGACCCCTGATGTCTCCATAAAGAGGACCTGACACAGTAAATTGACTGCACCAATTCAAAGATGATTTGAGGATCTACAGCCGAGTGATACACAAATAAGATACATTTTTGTGAATAGTTAAGGTACTTTGAATGCTTTTTTAAAAGATTTAACTGCTAAATTTAGTGTCACTTTTAATTTGGCTTGCCACTGGAAGACACCTGCTGGTGGACACTGAGACTTCTGCAAAATTGCTCCTCTAAACTACAGTGCCACCAGCAAGTGCTCTGGCTGTGCTGCATGTCCCTGCCATAAACTTTTCATATCTAACAATGTTGCTTCTGATTAAGTAAAAAAAAATTACTCCTAATTTCATTTGGTGAAAGATATCATGTATTATACAAACAATCTTCATATAAAAACTGTGGTTTATGTCAAACTTTTGCTGTTCTCTCTGCTCTGGTCTACTAAAACATCTATAATGACATATCTAAAATAGTATAAATGGGATTATAGCTAAATAATCTCTTTTTATTTTAGGGATCACCAGGGTCCTCAGGTCCACCAGGACCAAAGGTAAGTGTATATTATGTTTGTTTAATATTTTAAATGTTAAATCTTTTCTTTTTCAAAGCTCTTGTATTTTGCATTTCTATAGGGCTCCATGGGCCTGAGTTTTCATGGACCGCAAGGTGAAAAAGTGAGTGAGCAAATATACACCATGCACCCGTCATGGAAATGCTTATTGGGTTGGGCCCGGGCAGAATTTCAGCTGAACGTCCTACTGTAACCAGTTAGATTTCACTTATTAATGATAGTTGGGAAAATATGCAGTAGTAGATAGTAGATAGCCATGTTGTAATATATATAAAATTAAATGTATAGTTGTTGTACTTATAGTGATCAGTACTGCAGGAGTATCAGTATTAGCTTGGCCACATTTGTGTTGCGCTCTCCCAATAGATACCTGTGTACTTTGATGTTTTAGTGAAGTTCACTGACAGTTTATGTTTCTTTGCAATACTCTGTAGGGTGAGCCTGGTCTTCCAGGTCCCCCTGGTCCCCAAGGTCCAGCATCCTTTGACAGACCGAATGCAACAGAAGTATACGGAATAAAGGTAAACATTTTTTTTTATAATGGTTTATACAGTATGCATACTTTGTAAATAAAATGAAAATAGTTAATTGGCTATTTGACGCTGTTACTACTTAGTGGTACCTGAATGAACACAACTTATTCTTATCAAGAAGTTTGGATCATAATGGACAAATAGTTGAGGCTTCACTCAACATTGGGTTTCTTACAGCTAATCTGGGTGTTTATTAAGTCTGTCAATTATGCTATTTTAAGCTAGGGTTCCATTTGTGAATATTAACCCCTTCATGACTGGAGACGTACACTGTACGTCTCCATCCTGATGTACCCAAATGACTGGGTCATTTGGATACTGTGAAGTTATGGCATTTCAAAGTTTTGGGCTTTGAAATGCCAGTAACCGCTGAGAATTCATTAATGAATGCATCAGTATTGTGGCATCCATTAATGAAATAGTTGAACTTTTGTAAAACCTTCTATCTTACTTTCATCAATGAAAGAATGAAGCTGTTATGAATACTGGATCGCTATAAGCGATCTGGTATTTGACAGCTAAAATAGCAGATAAGCAGAATGTGTCCTCACTGCTCTGCTATTTCAGTTTTGACAGCTCTGTAAAGATCAGGACTTCCCTGATGTTTACAGGCTGTCTTGTTACAATACTTTCTTTCTTCAGCACAGAAATATGGAACAATATATTTCTATGCCGAAACATTGTATCAGACTTCTTTGGGAACGATCAAAAGCCTTTAGACCCCGTTCACACCAGGGTGGTTCGGCCGCGCGGATTTGGCCGAACGGACCTGCCGACATGAACAATCCTATACATTGCTATGTGACCGTGCCGGTCCGCGCGATCCGAACTGCCCCCCCCCCCCCCCCCAAACTGCTCCCTGCACTATTTTTGCCATGCTGATCTGTGCGGTTTCCATACAGCTTTCAATTAAACGCAATTAAAAACTCCCAAAACCTCCCTTTGAGATCAGCGCGTTAACTGCGTGGATCCGCAACCGCCCTGGTGTGAATGGGCTCTTAGTGAGATCTGATCCTGTCATGCTGTCATGATCAGTCACTAAGGAAATTATTGGCTCTGGGCATTTGTTTCCCCCCTAAGGGGTTAATTTTTTTATTTAGGTGTTGTTCTAAATATGTCACAGTCCCTAAGTGTTTCAGTTAGTGACACTTAATGGCAGTGATATTGTAGGCCACCTAACCTAACCCAACCACTATTAGTTTTTAGAGAAGAAAAAATATTAGCTTTTTGTGTTAAGCTGAAAAGTACAGAAACATTTCTGAAATCCTAGAGATATGAGGTGCTTCCAAATAAAGGACAAATAAATGAATATATTTTAATGCATTTTTTTAGCTGTGCTATTCTAAAAAAATAATAATAATCAAAACTGGGAAAAAGTGTTTTCTTTAAGTTTTTTCCTCTTTTTTTATGTTATTTATGCTAAGTAAAGTTATGTAAAAAATTATTAAATTATCAAGCAGTCATAGTGACTGCTTGATATAATTGACAAAAAAGTGTAAAAAGGTGTAAAGTGTAAAAAAATAAAAAGAAAGTTTAAAAAAAATTAACAAACTAAAAATTATATATAAATTTTTTTTTACTATAATTATTTTTAAAAAATAATCCATTACAATAAAAATCTAAAGTGTTAGGTACACATATTTGATATAAATATATAGCCCTATCTGTCCTCTAAAAAACAATATATAATATGTGTGGGTGAACTTAGTAGTATATTACTGCCGTGAAGGAATCGCACAGCAAAAATTTTAAAAGTGCATCAGTCATTAGCAAGCAGAAACTAAAAAAAAAAAGAAGCTCGGTCTTGAAGGGGTTAATTGCATATCAAGATATATCTGTATAATAAATACGAGTTTGATATGTTTCCTTTGACAGAACTACCAAATCTATTCTCACCATGTTGTTTCTCATTTGGGAAGGGCTGAGAGGGGTGCTACTACTGAAATGTTAGGATCAGTGCAAGTGAGAAATTGCTTTGCAGACATTAGGCTGAATTCACTAATCTATAGTAGTTTTATTTGTTATAAGGATCAATATTTTCAGCCATGAGGGTTGCTGTATGTGTTATTGATAAGGAAATTAAGACTATGTTGTTTCTGCATTCTTGTTTCATAATTACATATACTGTATATTGTTTATGTTGCAGTCATAAACTCTGACTTAAATAAATGGTAAGTTAGTGCTCTAAATGACTGTTTTTAAAGGGTGGGAGGTAAGAGGCGAGGAAAAAAAGAATACTTCATATTCTTATAGTTACAGTTCTCCAAATCCTACAATGATGAATTTCAATGTTTAAACTAGCTGCATTATTAATTTAATTGTTTAATGTATTTAATTTATATTTTGTATTTAGGGAGCAAAGGGTGCACTAGGTGACAAAGGCGACAGAGGATTTTCAGTGAGTTAACAATGTTCTGTATATATTGTGAAATAATTTCAGCTTTTTTTATTTCATCCATGTACACTTTATTTCTATTGCAAACTCTTTTGTGTGATTTTCAGTGAAAGATTTTTTTTTATGTGACATCTACAACATGTCAAAGTGTTTCCTTATTTTTTGATTTAGGGTGTTCCTGGAAGTAGCATTAAAGGAGAAAAAGGAGACCCTGGAAAGGCAGGACCAAGGGTAGGTATCATGGATTCTACCTCCATAAAGGTTACACTGCTATGTATTAGATGTTTGTGGTTCAGGAATTGTATCATACAGAATCAACACTTGAAATTAGCGCTAATGGTTTAACTAAAATCACTGTATGACAATGACAAAGCATTCCTAGTAAAGGTAACACAGCACAAATTAAACCCACAATGTAACAAAATTATGTTTTATTTAGTATTAAATGCGATTATATGTAAGAATATGTAATAATAAAAGAACAAAAAACATTCTAAACATTAGACTTATTCATTAAATTGTTTCCTAGTTAGTCCTTTTTTTTAAAAATAAGCAGTTGCATATTAAATATTCTATACAAATATAGAAAAATTTATGTATTGATCTACCATTACTAATAGGGATGCACCGATACCGGTTTTTCAGTATTGAGTATCAGTACCAATATTTTTTTCCCGGTACTCACTGATACCTAATATTGATACCGGAAGTCCCATTAAGGAAACTGGGTGGCGTGTAATGACTTACCGCCAGGAAGCTGTCTCCATGCTCCCTCGTCACCAGGAATCTGGGGGGCGGGTAATGACTCGCCTCCTTGCTTCCTGAATGGCCAGCTTCCCGACCAATTAGGAAGTCGGGCGGCGAGTCATTACACAGATCTCGGCTTAATCATTTGCCAGGAAGTCAGCTCCATGCTCACTGGTGACGAGTGAGCATGTAGCCGGCTTCCCGGGCAATCAGGAAGCTGAGCGGCATTTAATGACTCGCCGCCCGGCTTCCTGATACCAGTATCGAGATAGGCATCGGGGGCATTTGGGCAAGTACTGTGCATCCCTTATTACAAAGATGCAATTCATAGCATGCCAAAAATAAAGTGCATTAATACATGGCAAAAACCCATTAAGCTAGATGGTGGGTCAGTAACCATTTCATTAGGGGAGAACACGTGGAATGCTGTGTGGAATAAGTGCAGACAGTAAACAGTGCAGCAAGTGTCAGTAAGTAGTGTTTAGTTACTTCCTGTTTGCCTTCTGTCTTTGCACTTCTCATGTGTCCTCTTCTTCCTGCTGGACTTCAGAGACTGGATAGCATATATAACAATATATGAAATAATTGAAAAAAAAATCTATAACATAGCAAGGATTAAGCACTGGGGTTAAGGTATACATTTTATCCAAATACAAATAAACAAAAACATAGGGACTATTGTTTACTATATATTATAATATATTATAATGGGACAGTGTAACCATAAATGGTGAGAAAGGATTAAAGCAATCAAAAAGATCCACACTCAATCAGTGAGTAGCTTAGTAGAGCCTTCTTAAGGCTTGGCTCAATGTAAGTATCCATATCTGATATCTAGAGGACCTCTGGGGATGCTTAAAATCATTGTAGTAGTCAGCCCTACTTACAGTGATAGCCATGATCTTCTGGGTGCAGCTCCATTGACTTCCCCTCTGTGCACAGTGAGTCGCTTGCTTGGTTCCAAAACCATTCAGAGAACACCTTGTATTTTTTCAATGAATACAAGGCATTGTTTAATTGGCTGAGGCAGAGATCAGAACATCATCTGCCCCTCCTCTTCACCTCAGCCAATTAGAGAACGACTTGTAGAAGACTACAGGCTCTGCAATCACTGTATGTAGTGCAGACTACTACAGACTACTACAGTGATTTTCAGTGGCCCTCTGGATATTAGATATGGATACTTATTTTGCGCCAAGCTGGACCTTTGTAAGTTTTCAAAAAAGATCATTCCCGGAGTTTAGCTTTAAGCAGTTACAGTGATAAGTTTTTCCTTCTTTTGGAAAAAAAAGGTATAAGCCATATAAATAAAAGATCACCATTGTGAGCACCCCTATCACTTTTTAATGCCAACCTTGCAACTGTTACTTTTGCTGGACAGCTTAATTTGTTTCAGACATTGCCAAAAATAACAGATGCAATGGCAGGTTTAGCAGGTGATAAAACTACTGTATATTACAGTGGGGATAAAAACTGCTGAATTAAGGCAATGACCCCATGAAGTTAAATGATAATTTTGCCCATTGGTATTTTAAGGGTGTTTCCATAATACAGAGATGCCTTCAATATAGTTGTTAATTCCTTCCTATAAGCATGCTGTAAAAAAGATCATTATAATCCTCCATAAATTGTTCCATAGCTGAAAACAATAGTCATTACCTAATAGCCATGCCAAAGGGAATCTAATCAGTGACAACGCATTATAAATTATTTATAATTTGTTCATTTTTATACATTTAGTCCTTGCCCCAAAGGAAATATAGTCTACTGGTGTAATTTTCAATTTGTGGATCATCTAGTGGAAAATGGGAAGAGTGTACAAACTGAAATGAACAGAAGAAGGCACATGCTAATTACTAGACTGCTTTACATACAGGGACTGTAAATTCACTAATTACTTTTTTTTTTTTTTTTTAGGGAAAACCTGGAAAAGATGGTGATCAGGGAGAAAAGGGATATACTGTAAGTATACTGTAAATGTATATTTTCTGTTTATAGTAATATACAGTATCACATGTGTACATTGTACAATATGTCATGAGCAGTCCGATTTACCTCAGACAGGTTTTAATCCAGATTGCATTGGTTTGCTCAGATACAAGTATCTGTGGGTATTTGGTGGTTTACCCAAAAAAGTATGAACCATTTGTAGGTCATGATGGCCTCTAGAAGGTTCCCCAGTGCTGTATTACATGCTTTCCTGTCCTCTACTGTGCCAGTCAGCATGCACGGCAGTTAGCGTTTTGTAATAGTGATGACATCTGACATTCATTTCATGTTCATTTACAAAAAAAGCAAAACAAAACTAGACCAACTTCACCTTCATCTTTGAATTTGAGTTTGGAATCAATCAGAAATATATGATCTGAATATGTAAATATTCCAGCAGAAATTGATTTTTGTTATTAGGCACTTATAGACAAATTGACCAATATGCAGGTAAAAAATTGCAGAAACATTTGAGAAACAGTTTGAGTATATTGTTTAACTTTCTTACATTTTTTATAATATTCACACAAATAACAAATAATTGGTCTTATTTTTAAAGGGAGTCCCAGGTAACCCGGGTTTTAATGGATTTCCTGGACAGGATGGACAAAAAGTAAGTTTAAAGACTATTCAGTGGAAAAAAAGACTATTCAGTGACCTGCTCTCATGATTTCGTAACTTCATATATACTAGTAACACTTTGCATGAAAATAGATATATTAAAGTGTTAAATTATCTATTTACAGGGAATAAAGGGAGAGCGCGGATTTCAGGGACCTCCAGGAGCCGTAAGTAATATCATTGCATTGGCCAAAGGATTGCAGGTTTCCTCTGTTGCAAAAAAATAACTTTCTCTTTTACTTAAATGTTTCCATAAGAAGTTCACTTACAGTACACATGCTCCAAACCCTCCAGCCCCTACATCCAGGCACAGGTACAGGTGCCACCAGTGTCTGTCACCCCCCTTCAGACCCACACAGTACACACAAAGCCGCACTCTGTTATCTTTTTAGCCTAAAATTCAATTTCAAGCATGAACACTGACACTCCAACCTTCTCCTTTCTATGACGTGCTTTGCTCCATATTGGAGCTTAATTGTAGAGATCCACATGCTGGAAATTGAACAATAAAACAGTTTTTAGCTCGAAGGGGAACAGAGTGTGGCCTTGTATGTGCTATGTGAGTATTTAAATGTTTCATACTAAATATGTGCACAGCTCTATATCCTGATATTTTATCTTTGCTATTTGTTTATTTTCAGGTAATAGATGATGGCCGGCCTACTGTAGTTGGAGAGAAGGGAGACACTGGATCACCTGGTTATCCTGGTAGCAGAGGAGATAGGGGTGCTAAAGGTAGAGTTTGTAATGGAATAAAACAACTAGTTAATCAGTAAAGTTTTTCTGATAAGTTCATACTGAAGGACCTATATCTCTATTACCCAACATGCAGTTCTATGGTACTTATAGTGTGGCCCTCTGGCCCAGCAACCAGTTGTCTTGGTTTCCCCTGCCTAGCTGCTTACCAAATCTGGTAAGAATGTTCTCTGGAAAAGCATGAAAAGAAGTGCTCCTAGGCTTTCCCTGTAGCTCTGTGGCATGTGACCTGTGATGCACTTTTGGGCATTGGCCTTAGATACAAGCAGCATGCAAGCGGCAAACCTTCTATATTCTAATGGGTTAAAATTCTTGTCGCAACTGGGTCACAAAAGTGCTGATTTGTTTCTGTGGTAATTTTGGAGGCTGCAAAATAAAGCTTTTATTAAAAAAAAAATTTAAGAATACTTACCTCAGCCCGGTCATCTGTCCATTTTCTGTGGGTGCTGGTGATGTTGTTGTAACTAACCATTGCTTCCCAGGAATGCTGGGTACTTGAAACCTTACAAGAATGCACTCCAACAGTGTAAGAGAACATTTTTGCAGTTTTTTGAGCTCTCACAGTGAGACATAGTAAAACATTGTTGCCCCAAGGAAGTGGACAGAACAGAAGCCAAATATTTGGCTTGCAAAGGCCACTTTAATTGTATATATATATATATAGATCTATATATATATATATTTGATAGTAAGTTTCGACTTGTGATATCTGATTTTTTTTCTGATGCAATCTTTCCATGATTTTGCCTGGGCATACACATTAACCTCTGCTTGCATGTGGTGTTTCCATTATTTTGTCCAACCCTGTATTTTGCTTTAAATCTGAACCCCGAGCAAAAATACTTTCATTTGAACATATTCCTGATAGCCACAAAGGATATAAATAAATTTATTCAAAATTCAGATGTTAACTTGTCAAAACAAAGGGTTACATTAGCACTGTGCTATGCATAATCTGTGCAGACAGCAGAGCTGTAAAAGGGACCCAGCAGCTCCATCTACTACAGGCTGCCTGCAGAAAACTACAGGAGGGAGTGCACGCAAGACCAGTCACTGGTCTCCAGCACAGAGGCAAAGTTTCACACTGGATTATTTCACAGATCTAGAAATAGAGAAAACACACCAAGGTTTAAATAAGTATACACGTCTTTTATTACGACAATATTTTCTTATCCCAAGTCCAGCTTAATTTTTTTTAGAAGAGACTTTGTATGTCACTTCTGCCTAAAAATTCCTTTACCTGACTACTAGCATTTTTCTCCTGTACACTGCCTGCGTTGCATTTGCAGAGCAGTTTACATTCCCAGAATGCCCCCTCTCCTGGCATATGGAAGAATACAACTGGGCACTGTGTTAATGTAACCCTAGTGCGTATAGCCAAGAGTTACATCACTAATGTCCAAATAGAGAAAAAACTGGTACATAAGAAGTGATGGAAAATATGGCCGTAGCAAAAGTAAGTATGCCAAAATGTGCATACTTACACATTTTGCCAAGCATTTCCATGGTCATCCACCCCACAGTTCCACTTTCTGTGCAATAAATCTGTTAAGTAGTGAAGCTGATATTTTAGGCAATGGTTTCTTGCTTATAATTTGCAGTTATTGATTACAATTTAGTGTTATAATGTATTTAAAAAATAAACACAATTCCTACATTTGACTAATAAACTTTATTTTTCCACCCCCTGCTTGATAGCTACTTAAACTTACACCTTGAGTCTATTTATAAACAATTCACAGGGTTTTGTGAGTGTCTGTAAATGTTTGTTTTGGGCAAATAATGGCAAACACAAATGTTAATAATATATATTTTTCCCAAATTCGACTGTAGTGTTGTAATATTACATTATGGCCACCAGATGTAGCTGAGGAGCATAGCTCCTCCTCAGCTCCATCTATTAGCCATAAGGTAATATTACAACACACTGCATTCAAACTGGGAAAGAATATATCAAGAACATTAATTTTGGCATTATTTGCCCAAAACAAACTTTCACGAATATTCGCAAAATAGACAACCCCCTTACGTTATTTGATGCAATTTTTTTTTTTGCTCTTGTTCTGCATGCAGATTTTCTTTTTTTAAATCAAAAGCACAAATGAGTAACGTCTGCATATTAACATTATTAGAAAATGTGTATTCTTTGCTGTTGTACTGGTAAAATACCCTCAACTGTATTTGTTGCTTTTAAGGTGAACCTGGACTACAAGGATTTCCCGGATCACCAGGTAACATCTGAGAATAAATATTGTACATAAATACTGTAAAAAAAAAAAGGGACGTTTTGTCTGTATTACTTACTTAAGGTATTATTAAACTCGAAAACAGTTTTTTTCAATAATACGTCCTGAAGAAACAAATATACATTGCCCAACAAAGTATTTTTTTATGTTTTTGCCCGAACATTTTCAATCATCATGTTTCCAAACAGCTGGCTCCAAATCTCTCAGCTTGGCTTCCCTGCACTTCCTGTCCAGTATAAGATCACAAGGGACAGAGCCGTCTCCAGCAGCTGTCCATCTATTAGCATGGAGAAGGGAAGAGGGAGGAAGTAGAAGCAGGGATAAGGGGAAACGTTTACAATACTGTGTCGGTGTGTTTGTGGACAGACACACAGCTTATTAGCACATACAAGGGTGGCTCTATAGAACCCTGCAAAGGAAAGGAGCAGCCCTAAACAGCATTTCAAGGCCAGTGCTCAGGGGACCAGCTGATTCTGCAGGAAGCTAAAACTTTTAAACATCAAGGATCAGCTTCCATTGTAAGTGATTTAATCAGCATTAGAAACAGCTTCAACTTTTTTTTTACTTTAATATCACTTTAAGAATTTTGATATCTGTATACACAGATTGTTACTTTTATAGATCCTGCTCTATAGTTCTAATTCTACTGTGCTTTGCTTAAAGTATACATGAAGTAATTTCTTTATATTAGGATGAACTGGTAAGGGGTTAGCACTACTGTCAAGTTGTTCTTGATGTCTGTGCCTCTGTTTTACTCCTATTAATTGTCCTGAAAGGGGCGAGGAATCTTCCAATGGAGACACTGACACATGACAGCTGTGCAAAAGGGAATTTCTCATACATTGTAAAGATATCCCATCACATTCTGTTGAGACTACAGAACAGGAAGTGAAGGGAAATCTCCATAATGACACCCAGAGGGCAAAAACCCCTTTCCTACCCTATCCAAAATGAAAAACAAAGTTTTTAAATGTATGCTTTAACCCTTTCGCTGCCACCGACATAAGGCTTACTGCGGAACACAACTGTTTCCAGCTGGCAAGCCAGCTCAGTGAGTCTTCCGTCGGTGGCTTTCACCCTTCTGCTATAAGCTCATGGTCGATTTAGTGACCATGAACTTATATCAGAAGGGTCCCCCCAATGGTCCCCTGTAAAAATAATAGCTGTCATGACAGCTATTAACACATAATCCGGGCGCTCCCTCCCCCGCGCTGGAACCGCTGCCACTGGCCGCCGGTCTCTAACAGCTTCTCCTGCCCTCTCCATGCTTCTCCTCAGATCCCCGCTTCTCTACCCTGCCTGTATGGGCTGAGGCAGCGGGGATCTGAGGAGAAAATGACAGCTGAAGCTGATGGGGGTGGAGGAGGGAGCCGCTTGTCAGGATCGTCGAGTGGCAGGAGAGAGAGAACATCGAGCGGCGAGCAGGGAGGAGAGCAGAGATGCTGTCATGCGGTCAGTTTCAGGATGACAGCTGCTCTGTGTGTGGCTGACCTGCAGAACAAACACTGGAGTGTGTGCAGAACAAACACTGCAGTATGTTTGTGAAGGTTCTCATTCATCCAGGTCATGGTATATCTGTAAAAAATAAGTCAAGGCTACTGGACTTGCTGTATTTTTCTTGAAGATGTTTCACTGGTCATCCAACCAGCTTTCTCGAATGACTTGTACAAAAATTATCTGGGAATAAATATGGTGAGTGTTACTCCAATCCACATAATCTGTTAAATAAATGTTTGTAAACAACTGGGGACACATAGTACTATATGTCTTCAGTTATGAATGAACAGGAAGTGCTTTACATCACTTTTTGTTCATTCATGAGTTTCTCAATGGGGACTCACTACAGAGGCTTCTACCCATTCATAACTGGATGATTGTAAAATTTAGCTATCACCAGTTTCTGAATAAATGGGAAGCCTCTGTACTGAGTGCTTTCCATTCATTTAGAGGCTGCAGAAAAAAAGATCTCAATTTCTATTTCAAAAGGGAAATGTCAGGGGTCTGGTTAAACCCCCTCCCCCCCCCGAGTAACATAAATAAATAAATAATTACAAAATAATTATAAAATGTAAATGAATAAAACACAACCCCCCCCCACCCCCCACACGCATATTATACATGAGCAACAGCGTGCACCATATTGTGGTGCATGCCATGCACATGCACTTTGGTGCATTCTTAAAACGCATCACAGAGCTTGATTTTTTCCATTAACTAACTGTGGCAGCGTGTGAAACTTTTGTGATGCATTGCCGTGCTTTGTTATATGCTGTGTTACGATTAAATATACTCCTGTATCATTTTATCACAATACACACACAAACACAGTACACAAACGATTTTTAACATAAGTTGCTTATTTACAGGTTTGCATTACTTCATTTTTTTACCGTTTCGCAAAAAGGCGCAATTTAAAATTGACAAATATATATTTTTTTAATTTAATACAATTTTTTATCTTTTAGATTTAGTCTGAAATATTTTTTTGTGCACAGATATTGATATTAGTGTGCTTTTATCAATTTAATTGTGTATTTTTATCGGTTTAATATTGATTTGATAAACATTTGCGCAATTATCACAGAACCTACAAAATTAGTAGCACCGTCTTTTTATTCTACGGGGCCTGTGCTTTCAGAAAATATATGGTTTGGGGGATCTTTTACAAATGCTAGCAACGCAGCAATAGGTAATCAAAACAATGGGAAACATTGCAAAAATGGTGTGGCCAGGTTAAAAGTGTTTTAAGGGGTTGGCAGTGAAAGGGTTACAGCCCATTTCTACCTTTGCAATTTATCACACAATTTATCCACATTTTATCAAAGCATGAATATCATCTACTTAAAGCATATCTAAACCCAAGAACACAAATGTAATATATTGCAGCCTACTAATCCTTACATGTGGTGGCTGCATTGGTTTTTTGTTTAGGCTTTTTGCCTGTTTTTTCCTGGTGATCCTGCAAGTAACAGACTTCCTGTCATAGGGTGACAATGCTCACTCACCATACCATAGATTAGGAGCAGCATTTTTCTCATGGACAGGATTACAGAATAACTCATTTTCTTTTCTATAACATACGGGGGAGATGTTCTGTAGTTCACAGAAAGCACTGAGAACAATGTAACTGATAAGAATGTCGCACAGGCAGACACGATTTCTATCAATATCAACAGGTAATTCTCTGCACATATGAAACAGATTTAACAAAATGATTTATATGGTGTAGTTAACAGACTAAATTAGACATGTTCAATATTAAGGTTTACATACATTTTAAAAATGTGTTTTCTTTTAGGAACATCTATTCCTGGCCCCCCTGGAGCACCAGGATATACAGGGGAGAGGGGTGAAAATGGAAATCCTGGATTGCCAGGTTTATCCTTACCAGGGGAGAAGGGCAGACAAGGCCCACCTGGGCCTCAAGGATCAGCAGGTCCACCAGGCCCCATCGGTAAGGACAGAGAATAATAGTTCATCCTTACAAACCCTTGCCAGATGGGAACTTTTGTCATAAGCATTTAAACTGTTCAGTACTTATTTTGTGCTCTGTACAATTTCTACAATTCTCTACAGATTCTATATTTTCAAAAATGTCCTAGATGTAAATTATTTTGTCTGCAATGCTAAAATATATTTATATCGCGCTCATTTTAATCTGATGCAATGCAATGGCACCAAGGCCTATACAGTTATACAGACACAACCACAGAATCTTGTAGTTAGAACTACTTTAAGGTTGTGCACTATAAAACTTGTACTGCTTTAAGCAAGGGCTCGGCTTCATCAAAAACATAAATAACTAACAAGGCATATTCTCCTAGCAATAGGCTAAAAAAGCACTAACCATGGTTCCATGAGATGACCAAATAATACTAGTAAACAAAAAATATTTTTTAAGTGTATTTGTACTAGATTTAAAGTGCACAAATGTACAATTGGGAGAAATAGCAGGCACCTCTATATGAGGGTTAAGCTTTGTTTCAGAGTCAGGGCAGGATTAAGAGCATCATGGGCCTAGTGCTAAGGATTTCGGTGGGCATTTTTATGGAAATCACAATGGTCACCGGGGCCCTCTTCCTCCTGTCAGGGCAGTGATTTGTAGGTTCTGTACAGCTTGGTGTCAGTGGTGGAGCACCAGGGTCTGGTTGCAGCTGTGATCCTGGTAGATCTGCCACTGACTCCAAACTGTAGAGGGACTGCAAATCTTACTAATACAATATAAAGCAAAGCAGAATACCACCAACTGTAGAGGACTACAAATCCCAGCAATACAATATAACGCAATGCAGAATGGCACCAGCAATAGAGGACTACAAATCCCAGCAATACACTGTAAAGCACTGCAGAATAATACCATCAGCTATTGAGGACTATAAAACCCAGCAATACATTTTAAAGCACTGCAGAATAATACTATCAGCTATAGAGGACTACAAATCCCAAAAATACTTTATACAGCAATACAGAATAATATGAAGCTACATACTATGTGTTGCACCGGGTTTGCAGCCTGATGCCTTCAGGGTCTCAGGAGAGCTGTGCAGGGTTTAAGGGCAGGCTGTGCGGGCTCTCAGGGGGCCCGTGTGGGCTCTCAGGCGATCAGTGCAGGCTTTCAGGTGGTTCCGACACCTACTTACAGTATGTGGTCAGTGTGGGCTCCAGGTGATCATTGCAGGCTCGCAGGTGATAAGTGCAGCCTCGCAGGTAATCAGTGCGGCCTTGCAGGTGGTCAGTGCGGGCTCCAGGTGGTCAATGGGGGCTCTCAGGTGGTCAATGCGTACTCAAGGTGGACAGTGTGGGCTCTTAGGTGAACAGTGCAGGCTTTCAGGTGGTCAGTATGGCCACCAGGTGGTCAGTGCAGGCTCCAGGTGGTCAGAGCGGCCTCGCAGGTGGCCGGTATGGCCTTTCAGGTGGTCAGTGAGGGCTCTCAGGTGGTCAGTACAGGCTCTAGGTGGTCAGTGTAGGCTCCAGGTGGTCAGTGCGGGCTCCAGGTGGTCAGCGAGGGCTCTCAGGTGGTCAGTGCGGTCTCCAAGTGGTCAGTGTGGGCTCCAGGTGGTCAGTGTAGGCTCCAGGGGGTCAGTGCAGGCTCCAGGTGGTCAGTGCAGGCCCCAGGTGGTCAGTGCAGGCCCCAGGTGTCTGTGCGGCCTTGCAGGTGGTCAGTGCAGGCTCCAGGTGGTCAATGGGGGCTCTCAGGTGGTCAATGCGTACTCAAGGTGGACAGTGTGGGCTCTTAGGTGAACAGTGCAGGCTTTCAGGTGGTCAGTACGGGCACCAGGTGGTCAGTGCGGGCTCCAGGTGGTCAGGGCGGCCTCGCAGGTGGCCGGTGTGGCCTTTCAGGTGGTCAGTGAGGGCTCTCAGGTGGTCAGTACAGGCTCTAGGTGGTCAGTGGGGGCTCCAGGTGGTCAGTGAGGCGCCAGGTGGTCAGCGAGGGCTCTCAGGTGGTCAGTGCGGGCTCCAAGTGGTCAGTGTGGGCTCCAGGTGGTCAGTGCAGGCCCCAGGTGGTCAGTGCAGCCTTGCAGGTGGTTAGCACGGGCCCCAGGTGGTCAGTGAGGGCTCCAGCTTATCAGTACAGGCTCTCAGGTGGTCAGTGCAGGCTCCAGGTGGTCAGTGCAGGCTTCAGGTGGTTAGTGCTGGCTCCAGGTGGTCAGTGCAGGCTTCAGGTGGTTAGTGCTGGCTCCAGGTGGTCAGTGCAGGCTTCAGGTGGTCAGTGCTCGCTCTCAGGAGGTCAGTACAGGCTCTATATGGTCAGTGTGGGCTCCAGGTGGTCAGTGCAGACTCCAGGCGGTCAGCGAGTGAGACTGGCAGCTGCGGCCACAGCAGATGTGGCTCTTTGCTCAGACATATCAGAGGGCCGCTCACTGGGGCCTCTTAGGGCACTACTGAGGAGCGAGCAGCCCTCTGAAATGCCTGAACAGAGAATTGACATCTGGCTGGCTGCGCTTCGGGTCGGGGTGGCTACGATTCAGGGCAGGGCGGGCTGGGCCTATTTGCAGGGGTGGACCTGGAGCAGGATCTCCACCCTATGTTAATATGGCCCTGTTCAGCGTGCCCTAGAAGCCCCAAAACCTGACCAGATTAGTATGGTTAGGCTTTGGTCTGCCCTCTCACATGTCTTACTTTTTGTTAGTGAGGCTGCTAATCACTGTAATGGCCCAAAAAGTGGGCATAGAGAAAAAGACCAGAGCTTGTCCATATAACTTGACCTCAGACCCTGAAGAATGTTCCCCACATTTTTGGGTTCCCAGGCCCTTCAAAAATGCTGAGCCTATAAATATTTACCTGGTGGAAGTGCCTGATATTTCCCCCGGGTATTGTTTTAGGTACTTATCCACAACAGGTACACTTTAAACAGATAATTGACTCTACCATCCTAGCAGTATAACTGTATGTGCCAAGTTATATTTTTAGTTATTTGAACACATGAATGATCAAATTCAAGTACAGCACTAACTGAATACAATTGGCCAACTAACCTGTATTTTTTAAGGTGTCTGAGTAACTAAAGGGAATATTTTGGGCACTGTACGGATAGGATCGTTCATAAGTTCTATTGTATCAATCAACATTGGTACCCTTTTGACTTCTCTATGGTTTTGTATGTTTCCAGCAGTCCTACAGTAGAATATGTGTGGCTATTTGAGCTATGGGGGTTAGTTGTTTATTTTTTTTAACTTAAATTCACTTAATAACAGATCCAACCCATGAATGCATTCCCGGGCAAACTGGTGACCGTGGATCCGATGGAAACCCAGGCCAACAAGGATTTGCAGGAGAAAGGGGACAGAAAGGTATGTGTTCTCTTAATGCATTGCAATTCTGTAAAGTTTTTAAGCATTCAGCCTAAATATATTTTCCAAGGAGAATGTATAGTAATTTTTTTTTTTTTTAGCATGTACATTTTTATTGAAAAGTTTTACTGCATACATACAATTCGTATAACAAGAGATGAAACAGCATCATAACTAATCATTGACCAACATAAATGAGAATAAACAATCACTCATAATGTTAATGTTAAACCACAATCAAGCCGTATAGCCTTAGGGGGGTAGGGGTACATATGAAATGGAATGGGGTCTAGACTGGATTCTGTGGGTACCAGAAATAGAGTTAATATATTGGAGCACCACAGTCCAGAAAGACTGGATGAGGGGACACATCCATATTAGGTGGTCTAGATCTGGTAAAGGGGCTTGGCATTTAGGGCAGGCCGTCAGCCAGTCCGGGGGAGAATTCTTGTAGCGAATATTGAAGGCATAACATGCTCTATGTATTAGTTGTATAGTAAATTTGACACAGATCTATATCCACCCCTTGTTTGTTGCTTATAGTCCATAATATGTTTTCCACACATAAATCCAACTTCAATCCTTTCTATACAAGATTTTTTCACAATCACATTTTTTTGGACATGAACAGTAAGTTTGTGACACATGCTTAATGTATAGTTTCAATTTTGCAATACTTTTGAAAATATGAAGAAATTGATAATTGATAAGAGATAAGACACCTGCAGTAGATAATTGCAGTAGGATAAATGTTATCCAGTAGATAATAATTCTAAGATAACATTTTAAATACCCTCATGAAGAAAATGACTAATAATTATACTTTGAGAAGCAAACTGCTCCATATGTCCATTGCGGGTTTTAGGATTCTATTTTGTCTTAAGACACATAGTAGTGTATTACTTTTGTATTGGTTTTAATTATGCAATTATTTTAGGTGACAAAGGTGATGCCTGTCCATTATGTGAAACAATGCCATCACCACTTCCTGGTCCATCAGGTCCCCAAGGCCCACCTGGTAAAACAGGTAAGAAATACTTTTTAAAATGTTAGAATTGTGTCTGAATCTACAATCTGTGATATACTGTATTTGCATGTTTAAAATATTTTATTTCAATCTAGTCCAGAAATACCTGTCCTGTTATGTTACTTAGAATATACTACAAACAATACATTATTTTAAAGTATTTACAAAATTCAGAAAAAGACGTAAAATGAAAGGAAGCAAACAATTAATAAACTTGTACCATCAAGATTGCAATAGAGTGAGGACAATGAATCAAGTAGTAAACAGATGATCAGATAGCATGTTACCCTTTAAAGTGAACTAGTAAGGGGATTTTTTGGACCCCTTACTCTTTATCTACAGCACCACAGAGGTTCACTCTCTGATCTCTGAACTCAGACCTCTGGGCTGCTGTTTCTTTAAAATCTTCAGAGTTCAGAATGTTGGGGGGAACGTCCGTTCTGCAAGTGTCGCCATCTTCCCTCTGTGTTGCATGGAGTCGCTCCCTGTGCACACTCCTGTGCTAGGATGACAGAATTACATAAGAATGCAGCCAGCCCATCATGTACAGGACCACCTACTTTTGGTTGGCAGCAGCTCCAGTGTGCTGGTGCTGTGTTGCTGTGATCGTCTGAGATCTCTGAATTATATCAAGGTTTTTTATTTTTTTTTCAACAAGCTTTATGTTGTATGTACAGTATGTATAATAGCCTATGAAGCAGTTTAATGTGTATGATGGCTTTAGCCTTTTTTTTCACGTTTTATGTATGCTTATTAAAAAGCATTCATAAAACTTGTTAAAAGAAAAAGACTGGAGCAATGTAAACATTACATTGTTCCACAATCTATACACATACACATTAAACATAATGCTTGTTTAAAAAAAAAAAAAAGATTGTAACCATCATACACATTACATTGCCTCATAGGCTATTACATAAAGCTTGTTGAAAAAAAAAAAAACTTGTGTATGATCGATCTCAGCCAACACAGCACCAGCACACGAAAGCCGCTGCCAATCAAAAGTAGGTGGTCCCTTTACACGTTGGGCAGGCTGCGTTCTTACGTAATTATGTAGTCCTAGCACAGGAGCGCGCACAGGGAGCGACTCCGTGGAACACAGAGGGAGGATGAAGGAACTTGCAGAACAGAAGTTCCCCCCAGCATTCTGAATTTGAAGATTTTAAAGAAACTACAGCTCAGAGATCTGAAGCAAGAATTGATAACAGTAAGAACCATACTGTAGCATTGAATTCATAAAAAACATATGTGAGGGTTTAATATCACTTTAAGGATCATTATACTGTATATGCTGTTGCTAAAATACAGAAACACATAATAGCTTAGCATATTGTATTTATATAGTATGTTATGTTGCCAACAGATTCCATAAACATTGCAAAGTTTTTTTATGAGGAAGCCCATCAAATGGGAAAAATAGGGGAGTATCAAGGACCGCCAGTACTGTGAGGCAGGGGTGCTAATCTCTTAGACACTAAACTGCTGCATTTTAAATGGACATCCAGGTTGCCTTAAACCTGGTGGGGTGAAGATGGGGTCAAATGCTAGTGAACCTGATTAATACCTGTGTGTGGGGCCAACCAGTGATTCTGATTAGCACCTGATTAGCCATCAGTTACAGTATGTTGGAGAGTGGCAGCAGATAATTGTCACAGATGTATCTGTGCCCACTTGGTCCAACTACATTAATTTAGAATACTGAAAGCCCTTAGAATGCAAACTGTTGTCTATATCATTAGCTATGTAGCTATGTAGAAACTAACATATCACCACTGAAATGTAAATGCAAATTGTTTAAATTGCTTGTACCGAGCAAGAACACATTAAAGATTAAAAGTAAAACTCTTGAGGAAGCGGTCTTCTGGTTGCACTATCTATCTTTAGAGGATCATTTTGCTTTATACATGATATGTTCTCTTTTCTAAGGACCGCCTGGCCAGCCAGGTGACAAAGGAGACAGAGGGCAACCAGGCTACGATGGCTTACCAGGAGCAACTGTAAGTACTGGCTCCTCCTCCTTCTTCTTCTTCTTCTTCTTCTTCCATTTAAAATATTATTTTGAAATTGAAAATTTCAACACAATTGTGTGAATTGATTTTTTAATCAGACCATATAGATTTGTCACTATTATGGTTTCAAATAAAGTATAAAATAATATATTTTTAAGGATGAATAATTTGTATTGAAGTCTAACTCTAGTCAAAATGTTTTATAATAGCTTTGGTTAGACTGGTAAGAGTACATACACCTTGTCAATGAAATTTCAGTTTACAACTATTTCTGTGGCTGCCTGTGACAGCATGACAACAGATGAGGGAAGCAGTTGTTATTGGCCAAGGATAGTTTTTTCTATTTACCTTTTTTGCATTCTGTGTCCCCACTGGAGAGTTTTCATGTTGGGTCCTGTTCCAACAGTAAGTGAGGAGAAATCTCTCCAACACGGTCACAGACTATATTAGAAACCTGGCAGAGGTTTTATCCCTTACTCACTTTGTCCAAAAAAAAAAAAAAATTGGATGGAGTCAGGCTTTAAAAGGACTTTATAGTCCCTATTTAAAACATGCACTAATATCCACTGCAGTCAGAAGATCTGAGGCGTATAAAAAATCTTAGGCTATCATAATTTTTTTTTAATTATTTACATTTCCAGGGACCTCAAGGTGTTCCAGGTCTGCTAGGGAGTCCTGGAGCAAAGGGTGAACCCGGGGAAGTTTATTTTGATCAGCAACTAAAGGGTGAAAAGGGAGAGACAGGTTTCCCGGGACAATCAGGAACTCCAGGAAAAGACGGAAGACCAGGAAGAGATGGATTTCCAGGCCAGCCTGGCCCCAAAGGTGCTTTGGTATGTATGTTTTGAAATCATACTTTGCATGTTTATTATTTTACTGTATTTTTACCTCCATTAATACTTAGACAGTGTAGTGCATAAAAAACATCCGCAGTGCAGTACATTATGGGAATTATTAAAGGGAAAAACCTTTGAGGCTTTGTTATTGCATACTTTCCTGTAATATAGTTATGGTTCAGTCATGCATGATTTCTTTTATTATTATTATACAAGATTTATATAGCACCAACAGTTTGCGCAGCACTTTACAAAATGGAGGGAGACAGTAGAATTACAATACAATACAATACAATACAATATAGCTCACAATCTACTAGGAGGGGCAAGTGATACATAAGGTAATAATTGTGTAGATTAAGATAGTGGATTCTAGTGAACATAGTGGAAGATAGTGGAAGAAGTAAACAAACAGTTTACTATGATAGGTAGGATAGGCTTCCCTGAAGAGAAGAGCTTCAAGGATTGTTTAAAGGTGGACAGAGTAGGAGATAAGTGGACAGATTTGGGTAGGGAGTTCCAAAGGATACTCTGGAGAAGTCCTGGAGGCGAGCATGGGAGGAGTTGACAAGAGAGCAGGAGATCTTGATTGGAGCGGAAAAGGCAGTTTGGGTGATATTTGGAAATTAGGATGGAGATGTAGCTGGGGGGCAGAGTTGTAGATGGCTTCGTATGCAGTTGTAAGTATTTTGGATTTTATTCTTTGGTCATTTGTGAGCCAGTGGAGAGATTGGCAGAGAGGACTGGCAGACACTGAACATTTGGTAAGGTAGATGAGTCTGGCAGCAGCATTCGTGATAGACTGAAGGGGATAGTTTGTTTAGTGGTAGGCCAACAAGGAGGGAGTTACAGTAGTCGAGGCAAGAGATTACAAGGGAGTAGATTAGAAGCCTTGCAGTTTCGAGTGTTAAAAAAGGGCGATTTTTAGAAATGTTACGGAGGTTGAATCAGCAAGAATTAGATAGTGATTGGATGTGGGACTGAAAAGAGAGCTCAGAATCAAGGGTTTCTTTGAGCACCCTGGCTTAATGGGAGGGGTTGATCTAGTGCTGTTGATTGTGGTGGAGAAGTCGGGGTAGAGGACACGGAGAGGAGGAAACATTATAAGCTCTGTTATGGACAGATTGACTTTGAGGAAGTGGTGTGACATCAATGTTGATATGTCAGTGAGTAGATTAGTGATGAGTGAGGAGACAGAGGGGGTGAGCTGAGGAGTGGAGAGATAGATTTAGGTGTCATCCACATAGAGATAGTATTGGAAGCCATGGGAGGTTATAAACTGACCCAGGTAAGAGGTAAAGATTGAAAATAGAAGGGGCCCAAGGACAGACCCTTGGAGGACCTCTACGAGAGGAGGAGGTAGAGTTGTAGGTCTGCTGAAAGATCTTTCTAAAGAAAGATAATTCTACAAATATTATTATTATTATTATACAGGATTTATATAGCGTCAACAGTTTGTGCAGCGCTTTATATGCAAGTTCGCAATAAAATTGCATGTACTGTCTATGGAACAAGTAGCTCAGACATCAGCTTGTCTTGGGAGAAAACAATACCAAATGACCTGTAAAATCCATCCTAGCGTATTCATTTTTGCTCAGACAGGCATATACATAGAAAACTGTAAGCTGATAACCAAGTTGATATCTTCTCTGTGCAGTGTAGGAAAAGAAAATAACCATCTCAGAATAATCAGTTTCTTATAATGTACTATAAGAATCTGTTACTTAGACATTTAGATCTACTTCTAGGAAAAAAAGTTTCAGGGCCCCAAACTACACAGGGCCCCATGCAAAAAGCATGTGTGTAGTTTAAATCTCAAGTGCTGCAGTGCTCAAATATCACAATTAATATCCCTATTAGTGTGCAAAATAAAAACGTCCGAATCTGAGCAGAAATAGTTAGTAAATGATACATACCCTCTCATGCATATATACAGTAGATAACAAGTCCTTCAAGAAGTCCATCACTCCTTGAAGGATGTTTCGCCAACAGTGATTGGTCAGGCTTAACCCATAACCCTGTTCTTCAGTGACAGTTGTAGGTAGCAAGATATCATGTACTACACTTGGCAGATCACAGACGCAAGGAGAGTTTGTCAGCGGGCCATTCCAGCTCAGATTCAGTGGATGTCCTGCAACATAAGGGACCTGGTTCTTAAAGCACAGACTGCTGTCCCCAGCCTGAGTCACTTCCCTTATCTGAGACCTCCTTAGCCCTCTCTGGCCCTGTTTGTCCAGAGTTTATGAAAGGTTTCCAAGTGGGCTAACAGCCTGAATTTACAGGTAGACTTTTAGCACTCTTTGAAACCTCAGACGACAGGTGCCGCAAGCGGGCCTCCTCATTCTGCCCCTGAGTGTATATTGGCTCTCCTTTAGCTACTTCTTCTTCTTCATTTTCTGAGGAGGAGAATGGGGATATTGCCCTCTCCAGTTCTGAGGACTCAATACAGGAGGAAATGCAAACCACTTAATTTTTTCCAAATCTTAAGGATACTCTGGCTATCCTTATTGATGCAGTATGCCTAGGCCTAAAGCAGCCTGCATCAACCTGGCCCAAAGTTACTAGCCCAGGCTCCCTGAAAATGTCTCAACTTGCAAAGTCTTTCCTGGTTCATTTGCTCTTACAGCCTGTGCTGTACGGTGATTGGCCCCACCCTGAGCAGATTTTAACCCCACCAAAATGTTTTGCTTAACAGTATCTTATTGAACAGGGATTCCTTAAATGTGCTGTCCCAGTTGTGAACCGAGCCATCTCTTAACAAAATCCTAATGGTCTCGGCTAATGATGACCCTTTCTTGAAAGACCCCATGGACAAGAGGTTAGAGGGCGTCTCTAAGGCCTTACTCTTCCTGACATGCTATGCAATGCAACCTGCTGTTGCAGCCATGTCAGTCTGCCAGATCCAAGCTGTCTAGTCCAAATCCATGGAACTGGTTCCTGGATAGATGCTGATGGATTTGCCTATCTTCCAACAACTTGAGATCCTGCCCCACTACTGTGTTGATAGCCTGGCAGACTTACTTTGCTAGGTCTCCAGGATGGGCCTCCTTTCAGTTCATATCAGGAGGAACCGATGGCTAAAATGTTGGTCTGTGGAGCTTCCCTGCAAGAAGCACCTCTTAGGAATCCCCTTTTTGGTGAGTCCTTGGATACTTAAAGCAAAGAAGCCACAGGGGAGCATCCGTTCCCCCCCCCCCCAAAAAAAAAAAAAAAAGCTCCTGCTATAAAGCCTTTGGCTCCAGACCTAGGGGTCCAAATCCAAGCCCGTCACAAAGTTCCACAGATAGGCTTGGATCTCCAAACCCACCAACTTCTGGAACAAGTCCTCCCCACAGTGAGGGGGATCCCTGTCATTTTTAATGGCCATCTACTACCAGGACATTTCAGACATTTGGGTCACTTGTCGTATCCAGGGACTACACACCAGTGTTTCAATCTCTGCCTCCACCCCTCCACCTCTGCATCCTCCCCATGCTGGATCTACAAGTTCTCAAAAAATTCCTTTGGGTTGAAAAATACCATATGTAATCCACCTCGGCGGTCATTTCCTTGCTTTTGCAGACTTTTTGTCCTCTATGGAAATCACAAATGGCTACTTACACATCCCCACAATTCCAACATATCAGTGCTCCCTGTGTTTTGCTGTGGCCACACAACATTAGGTCTCTCCTGCCTGTTTTGCCAGCCACCAGCCCTTTTTCTCAGCTTCAGCATCGCTGAAACTCCCGAATAGAACAAGCTCGAGTCGCAGTGTCCTTTTAACATTTATTCCATAGTAGCAACTAGGAGAGAGGGTTAGCGTTGCCAGATACCCGAGTAAGAATTTAGAGGACTGTGTCTTCACCCTTAGCAACAGCTTGTAATAGTAGCACAACGGTCCTGTGAGAGTGACCAGTAATATGTGGTAGCACCAGAGAACAGCCAGGAATAGTCCAGGACTTTGAGAGAACTGTCACAGGACACTTCTACTGGTGAAATTGCTAATATTTTTGGATTTTAAATAAAATTCTGTCTCTGTAAATATATTCACCAGAACAAACAGAGAAGGTAAAGCTAGCAAGCAGAGCATCAAACATCAAACCACACCACACAAACCTGTTATAACCCGTCTGTAGGGGTTGATGCTTGGCTAAGCGATGAAACAACTCTTTATATCATTTGCTAATTTCCTTAATAGAGGTAAACAATTCTGTAAAAATGGAAACACAAGACACTCACAAACATTATGATCATATGACATAAAAAACAGGCAGTCAACAGTAGGGAATTATATAAGCATAAAGTAATTTTTTATATTTTAAAGCCTGCAATTTTCATAAACATAATACCTGATGATCCTGTTATAACGGTCCTTGTGTAGATACTTCTTGTTATAGGGTGACAATCCTCTGTCCCTGTTTGTGCATTATAATAAATGGATTGCAGTGAGTCAGAAATTATGCCAGAAAAAAAGTGCCGCCTTTAAAAACTAAAGTACAGCTTTCAAATTCTCTGAATATCTTTTGCTTATTTTTTGTCCTTTCACCCTGCCATCTTCCAGTGAAAAAGTATTTTTCTGGTTGCTAAAGTAGCCAAGGATCTGAAAGCTGATTTCCTGCCAATTAGTGGGCTTTTGTACTGGAATGGTATAGAGTTTGGGTAACCTTAATTATGCCTATGTGCATTTTGTGCACCAGTTTTAAATACAAAGTGTAATAAGCTGATATGAGAAGTTGATTGCTAGAACGACAGGGGATCACTAAGTTATAAACTATGAACACCATAGGTGCAGCAAGATACGCTAACCATATTGTGAGGAATTTCAGATAAACTGTTTTGTAAAATTGTACTGGATTTGTATTGTAATCACCTTCTGGAAGTGGAAATGGCAATCATTAAATTAATTATGAATCAATCTCATATTTATCTGTTTAGGGCACAATTGGTGCAAAAGGTGAGCGTGGGCCATCTGGTGACAGCGGATTTCCTGGGGTTTCTGGAGAAAAAGGTTTGCCAGGACCTCCAGGAGTAGGGCAACCAGGACAGCCTGGAGACAGAGGAGAACCAGGAGCTCCTGGTTTTGTAGGAATACCTGGAAACCCTGGTAAGCGCAATTGCTTTTATATTGCTATTTCTTAACTGCCTCATGTGGAATTGCTTAGTAATAATTAAGTGTACTTAATAAAAGATTTGTTTTCTTACTAGGTATTAAAGGTGAACCTGGAAAAGCCATGGTTGTTGTTGGAGAACCAGGCACAATGGGACCTGCAGGTTATCCTGGATTACCTGGGGAGCAAGGTATATTATCTTGGTTTTTTTGTGTGTGTGTTTTTTTAACAACATTGTTTGATTTACCCTCAAGATCAGTTAATCCTTTAAAAATATAACAGTTTGTTGGCAATCCCTGCTACAGTGAAAACGAGTCACATCAATGCTTATTGATGTGCTTATGCTTATGCTGTCCATCATGTGACACTCACATCCACTTATATCTCTTTACTTAGGAGCCTTTGTTCATTTAGCAGAGATAAATATAGCACTTGTAATAATTAAGTACTTGTAATAAAATTTATCTTTCTCACTGCAGGTGAGAAGGGTGCTGTTGGTTTTCCAGGAAGATCTGGGTTTCCTGGAGAGAAAGGAGACTCTGGTAAAGAGGGTAAAGGACTCCCTGGACCTCCTGGAGAAAAAGGTAAGAAATTGTAAAATATTTCTGTTGCACATGGTACTTTTTAGTCTTCGTCTTTTAATGCCTTGTTTGCATTAACAAGTTGGAAAAATAAGGGCTTTGCCGCTCTGCTACCACAAGCAAACTGCCAGACACATAATTAAAAATGAACTTTTCACTAATTAATATGATTGATTCAACTCTCAGTCACTAGATACATGAGAAAAAGCACATATGATAAGAATCTGGTAGCTTACTTACCACTGTCTACCACTGGCTATGAAGCTAAAAATGAGATCACTCAGTCCAGCAGTGTCTGCAAGCTGGCTGGCACCAAGCAGGAGAATTCTAGAACATGCCCCAGTAACTGGGTCTAGAAATGCCCATGTACAAACATGCATCACTTTCAATATAACAAAGATGGCATTTTTGTGTTTTTTACAGTATAATGACAACGTATACAGTACATCTCTGAATATCACTTTAGTTTAAAACTTAGTAAGCGATTGTTTCTGGTACACTCTGTTACAACCTTTTATGGTACAGTCACAGTTATATGTCATTGTAAGAATTCTGCTTGAAGCTTCTCAATTTTTGCATCATATTCACTTAGGTTACCCTGGAATAGATGGCCCACAGGGATTAGATGGGGTACCTGGTCAACCAGGTCATGATGGTTTACCTGGAAATCAAGGTCGACCTGGAGAGAAAGTAAGTAACAAATACCTCCTATATGAACTTAGTGGACAGCTTTATTGTGTGCATAGGATCAACTCTCTGGGTCTATGCAATATAGGAGATTAGTATCAAATAACATGGGGAAGATGCAATGCATTTAGCATAATAGGCCAAACACAACTTTTGAACACACTTTTACGACATGAACACAAAGAGAAAGTCCTCTGAAAATGTTAGACGAGTCTTTACCTAAATAAAAACCGCTTTGTTAATGCTGATCACATATGTATCATATACATATGCCATTTTGACCATAATTGCAATTTAAATACATAATAGAAATTTTACATGTCTGGTAAACAGTTCCAAATGTATGCGGTCTCATTCAGCCATTCAGTTTTTGTATGGGAATTTTTCTTTGCAGGCTTTCTTACTCACATAACACATTAAGAGCTCCTCCTTTATTCCAACACCTGGCTCTTTAGCCAGTTGAAAAAACATGAAGAAGAAAGGTGGCCAGTGAAAGCACCCACTCTTTCCCTTATCAGACTACAATGCCCTAATGCGGTAGATTTCACTTTATTTGTACCAGCACAAGAGCGTGGACACTACACCCCTTGTTATCTGAAGCTGAGGAAGTATCACTCATAGACGGGTACCCTGACTTATTTGAAATAGGTCAGGGTACCTAACTATGAGTGATACTTCCTTTTATATGCTAGTTCTACACTGAAATTGCAATTTGGAAGTAATACAGCATAGCATAAAATAGAAGAAACACAGGCCTCTGTACATAATACTTGATCTGAAACTACTTTAAGAGCTTAATGGTAGTTATAGCAGAAATATAGCTAAATACAGTACTTACCTGTTAGCAGCTCTGGCAACAATTCTGAGAGCAGACCATGGCAAGAGGTAATCCGTGCAACTGTATAATGACAGATCCTGTTTATGGCTGGATTGAACACATATCTTTCACCACCACACATAACCCAATGCCCCCCCCCCCCTTCCTAATTGCTCTACAATGAGAAATTTTGCATATGCAAAAATACAAAAATGTAGAGCATATGGCTGAAGGCATTATCTTTTTAAAATCTTATACACTTACAAATGCACACATTATTTAAAATGTCTAAATATACACAGCGCAGATGGTTTCAAGTAAATGTAAGGCATAGAATTTGTACTGCTTGAAAAATGTAAATATCTTTGTCGTGTAACCCTTATCTCACACATAGTAAGTGGGTATTTCAGAAATGTAATATTCAGCCTGTTTTTCACATTATACAGTAAATTGTTATCACATTGTTATTGCATATTTAGGGTGAGCCTGGGCTGGGTCTTCCAGGTCCTAAAGGATTGTCTGGACCACCAGGTCCCACTGGCCCTACTGGAGTGAAAGGAAGTACAGGATCAGCCGGTATCCCTGGTGAACAGGGTCTCCCAGGAGTTCCCGGTTATTCAGGAGCTAAAGGTAACAAAATAAACCTTAAAATACAAAATAATTGTTGATATATACAGTAAAAATGGTTTCCTTTAGTGAACTGCATGGAGCAAAATGTTTGGCAACCAGTAGCAACTTGTCTGAATCTGTGGTCAGATGAATTCAAATTTTACATTCTTTTTGGCAACCATGGGCTCCGCATCCTCCAGACTAAAGAGGAGAGGGACCTTCTGCCTTGTTATCAGCGCTCAGTTTAAAAGCCTGCATCTCTAAACGTATGGGGTGAAATAGTAGGTATGGAATGTAAAAAAAAAACAACTAATCGTTAAAATCGATAATAATCGATAATGGTGGTCGTAGAGGCTCGGAAGCATTGGGTGTGTGATATCCAGTCTGCTATTGGCTATTGCAATTTGAAATAGCCAATAGCAGACTGGCTACTGTACCCGCCCACTACCTGTTGTCAATCAGAGGAGGACCTGACTGAGAACTTTTTCCTTTAGGTCCTTCCTCTGCTGATTGACAGCAGGCAGTGGGTAGGTTCAATAGCCAGCCTGCTATTGGTTATTTCAAATTGCAATAGTAGGGTGGCTATTGCACACACCCACTGCCTTCTGTACACATCTGGAAAGGCACCATCAATGCTGAAAGATATTTCCAGGTTTTAGAGCAGCATATGCTCCCATCCAGACAACGTCTTTTTAATAGAAGGCCTTGCATATTTCAGCAGGAAAATGTTAAACCACATACTGCGTCTATGACAACAGCATAGCTTCATAGTCACGGTGCTTAATTGGTCTCCTTGCAGTCCAGACCTTTCACCAATTGAAAATATTTGGTGCATCTTGAACCGAAAAACATGACAGAGAAGACCCAGGACTGTTAAGCAGTTAGAATCCTATATCAGGCAAGAATGGGGCAACATTCCTATCCCAAAACTCCAGCAACTGGTCTCCTCAGTTCCCAGAAGTTTACAGAGTGTTGTTAAAGAAGGGGTGAGGGTGCATCGTTGTAAACATGGTCCTGTCCCAACTATTTGGAGACGTGTTGTCCCCAACAATTTTAAAATTACCTTTTTTTTTCTTAAAATTGTACATCTTCTCAGTTTAAACATTTGATATGTGTTCTATTTTAAATAAAATATGGGTTTATGAGATTTGCAAATCATTGCATGCTGTTTTTATGTAGATATTACACAGCGTCCCAACATTTCTGGATTTGGGGCTGTATTATTATGAGATAGTTAAACATACAAGTATGTTTATCCTTTCAATAATCAGTCATAAAGCAATTCAGGTCAAAGTCAACATTTAACCCTTCGGGGAGCAAGGTTTTTGCTTTATATATCTCGATTCTTTTTTAGCGAGATCTCTCCTGATATTGTTTCCTCTCCAGTGCAGTTTACTCTTTACAACCCCTCAGAATTCCTGACCTTCTGGATTTTTATTATGATATATCATTTTATGATCCCTTCTACTTTCTTATATTGTGTGATATAATCAAAAATCCAATTCACATGAAATACAAATTAGGACAGTGTTTGCACATATTGCATTTTTCTAATGAATTATGGGTTGAGAAAAGATGTGATGTACTTTATAATGATGGCATATGACACATTATAAGATGAAAGCAAGAGTGCGAAAGGTTGGAATATTTTTAGTTTTTGTTTGATGGTATGCACTTTATATTTATTACACTGGACACTTTCTATATATAATGTGTGAATAGTTGATAAAATAAAAAGCACCACACATTTTTTTATGATTTATTGCTTATAATAATATATTATATTTAATGTTGGCAGCTTTAGAATTAGATACTTATCTTCCTGGATTGAGCACAGAAGTTCACATATTATAAATAATAACATATAAATAACAATTAAATGGGTGTGTTCAAATACATGCAAACACAATATAATTTATGCATTTGTGCAATAAGTATGAAAGAGTAAAAGTAAAACACTAAAAACAGTAAAAAGTGTCACTTCAAGTGTTAAAAAGCATGAATTACCAGAACGCAAAAAAGTAGCATAATGCTTTTTTCACCTTAGTTACAACAAATTGAACAAAAACTGAGGAAAGGAAATCAAATTAAAAATAAAAGGCAGGTTGGTAGAGAAAGTAAGAAAAAACCCCACAGAATGTTTTCAGAATATTAAATAGCATAATGACAAGAATTGACCCTGGAGGCCACATAAAAAATGAAAACATAAGATGGTTATTGGGGCTGGACGAAGAAAAAGCAAATGTATTAAATGGCTTCTTTGGCTTAATGTGCACAATTGGAACATGGTGGTGCTGATGCATGATATGAGTATAAGTGTGGTATTATCACAATTTGCATCCCAGTTGCTTAACATTTAAATTGCCACCCAGGCATCCTAAAAAAACTGGGTTAGAGAAGTTTCTAAGCAACTGTTTCAGAATAATCATTAATGTCTGACTTGATACCAATTGGTTTGTATTAAGCAAATGTGCCACATATATTAAAAAAAAGATCACTTTCTTTGCCCAGTAATTATAGGCATGCAAGTTTAACTTTTATTGCAGGAAAACTATATGAGTTGTATGAGTATGTGGAAGAGCACATTTGACAGAAAATAACAATAACCAGAGTATATTTATAAGACATATTTTGTCAAACAAAAATGTTTTCCTTGTGTAAGTAAACGAAAACTTTGCCATGTATAGTATATACAGACTTTAATAATGCCTTTTACACAGCATGTGTGTAATTTAAGGTATATTGGCTTAAAACATTTTAAAACAATTTTGTAACTGAATAGAAAACTGGCTTAGAGACCTCATTCAGAGAGTTGTGGTCAATGTCTTATACTGTGAATAGATCCCGGGCAGTCATTTTTATACCCCAAGGTTGGAATCATCACTCTTTCATTTGATTATAAATGACCGTTTCTGTGTTTCCAAAAAACACAAAGCTATATAGCTATGTAAAATCTTTGTAGAGTTTCTACAGTCTATTAGCTGAGCTAAACACACTGGTTGATTGGTCAACAACATGGTGAGTGAGGTTCTATTTGGACAAATGTAAAGTAATGCACTCGGTTTAATTAATAATAAGAAAGTTTTTTTTTTCTTTCATTAAAAGAGACATAGATTTTAGATGGAAAGGCATTTAAATAAAAGATTAGTATGACCTCACTTTGAACTGAAACACGTAGGGGGGGATTTATCAAAACTGGAGGAGACAAAATCTGGAGCAGATTTGCACTGCAACCAATCAGCTTCTTTGTCTCATTTTCTAATATTACCTGAGCAAACTGAAGAGAGATGCTGATTGGTTGCCATGGGCAACTGCTCCAGATTCTCTGCTCCAGTTTTCATAAATTCCCCTCACAGTCTTTACAGTGGTGAAATATGGTTTAATTATTTTAAATCTTTATATTTCTGTTTTAATACAAAGTAATTAAAATCCATGTTTTTTACTAAAAGGTGATACTGGCCCTGCTGGGGCACCAGGCATGAGAGGTAATCCTGGTGTACCTGGTTTTGGTCCTCCTGGAGAACAAGGGCCTCAAGGAGTACCGGGATCTCTTGGAGTCTCAGGTAACTGAAATATTTGTAGCAGCTAGTAAATAGAACCTGTCTTAATGAAAATTCTTCAATGGCTAAAGAATATAGAATGTATCCTTCTTATACAGCAAACACCATTTAATACCACATCATATTGTCACTGAACACTTCTTCTTCATAGGTTCCTGCTATAGTACCATCAAGCCTTCAGATCTCTGTGGCTCCAATCTACTACTAGTTGTGTACGGTGTATTGCTGTCCTTCTACTTTGCTGTCCTGTGAATCCTCCAGGATTCATCCTGGGTATGGCAGGAAAATGCAGCATACAATAAAAACTTTAGCATATTGACATTTTTGTGTTCATGTAAACCAAAAATATAAATTGTATGCATATTACAATTAAACAATGGTATAGTTTTGGTTCGCATTAAACTTGAATTATTTAATGAATAGAGCAATATGTCTAAAAAAAAATGGCCCAAGAAAAAGTGATATTTAAATTTCAATTTCTACCATTCTATTGCTCTTTCTAAAATAATGACTTTTTCTTTTAGGTTTATTGGCCTTTAATAATTGAGTTTGTGATACATTTATGGTTTCTTTCCTTCAATTTGTCTCATACTAGAAAATCAGTTATTTAGCATGTAATATCTGCATGCATTATTGCTTACAGGCCCTACTGGACAGAAGGGAGAAAGAGGATATCCTGGTTTCCCTGGAGCAGATATGCCAGGTCCAAAGGGAGATAAGGGGAAAGCTGGCATGCCAGGATCTATGGGAATGCCAGGATTGCCTGGGCAGCCAGGTCCAGCAGGAAAAGACGGGTCTCCAGGTTTCCAAGGTAATCTGATGTTCCATACTGATCATCAGCTGGAACATAGAGCCATTTAGCTAATAACACTCTTGATAAATGCTGTATATTGTGTATATGCTAATGTACAATTTTCAAAGCACATCTCCGCGTTACTGCCAGTGTTAAGCAAGTTTATTTTCTCAGTACAGCTAGCAAGCCTAATATTTGGACAATTGGAAAAATCGTAAATATCTTTATCTTTAATATGAGGAGCAGCTATTCCTATAAAATATCTTTATTTTTAAAGAGGAGCAGATATTCTTATTTCCCTTTCTTAAAGGACAGCTCACATCCAATGGCAAATTAATGTATTGTTGTTAACATGAGTCTGCATTTAGAAACCATTCCTATGCTTTACACACGTGCAATAAATAAGAACATATGTACAGCTGGTTTGGGACCAGTACAGTCCTATGTTCTCTTATGTGAAGAACTCATTTTGAAATGGAAAAAGGGGTTCCATTACGATTCTGAAGCCCATAGTGCCTGTTCCTTATCTTAAATAACAAAAGCCTGCTTATTTGATCCACTACTATCCACTAATAAAAGAGGGGCGAAAATAAAGTCTTCCTATATTTAATGCTACTTATTGGCCAGTTCATCCAAGTGACGCCACTCTATTTATTTTGAAGTTTTGCTGCAGAGCATGTTTACCTAGTAACTCAATAAATATTTCACTGCAGTGGACATCATATCCTCACAGCTGCATATCCTACCAATTAACTAGTACATGTGGTAGGCCATTTTTATCCTTGCTAACTGGTACATCATAGGGCCCTGTACAGTCTACCTGACAGGGCCCCCTTGGAGTGTGAAGTCAATTGTAGACATGTGCAGTACCGCTTACTGGGACTCTTCAGGAAATTTGGGTGTATAAGGTGCTGCTTTCATTCATATGTGCAACAAAAGGCATTCAGTATTTTGAATGCTTTCTGTTGCTTGCATACTGTAACTGCAAGCTTCTGGGTTTCATTGTAACAATTCCTCTTGCCATCTCAGTCTTCAAAGTCCCAGAGTGCAAGAAGCTATTCAGAGGGCAAATAAGGGCCATACCCCACCCAAAATCTGTGTATTTTTGTGAAGAGTAACATAGGTGTTTGCAATCAGCCATGACAGGCTGACATTCATGGCAAATGTCTGTGGCTGTTTGCATGTAATTGAGTGGTTACATCCAGTTAGGGACAGATGAGTGGTCCAGGACGCAGACAGTTTGCATCCAGATCTACTCATCTGTCCATAACCGCATATAACCTCTTGATACTAGCACTACAGGGCTAAGGGGAGCTGGAAGAGGGTTGGCTGTAGGCTACACAGGGTGTCTCTACATGCTGTTGCTACTCTTCCCACCTACTAAACCTGCTAAGGAAGAAATTACTCCATGACCTCTTTGTACTGCTGGCACATATGCTTCTCATCCTGTGCCTGGGCCCCCTTGCTGATTCAATAGGGCCTGGGCCAGGTATGGGAGAGTTACCTGTACCCCGTATCAGCAGCCCTGCATGGTAGTGTTTGCTTTTGAGCAGAATCTTAATTGGCAGAACCTGCATAGTTTAGACAGTTACTTCTCGCTTTATCACAATAATCCTCTCCAGTCTTTTATTCTCTTCTGTTACCAAGGAGATCATTAAAGGGGACAAAATAATTGTCTTGAGTAATGTTACACTCTCCCAACAAGAGTTCCATCCACTGGCTCAGTAACCTATAATCCTACCATCGGTCCCTTGAGCCTGAGGCATTACAAAGTGCTATTTTGATAGAGGTGTCAATAGTATTTGTAAAGCAAAACATTTTTTTTAGTATTAAATACAGTAGGGTAGGGTTAAAACCCCTATCAGGTTATTTTTTGCTGCCCTGTCCTGCTGGGGAGATTTCCTTGTACTTCCTGTACTGGAGACATACCAAAAAATAAGAGGAAACCTCTCAAAGGGAAACTCCAGTAGGAACAAGTGTCCATACTGGAGGATTTTCCCTAATTTCTTGCTCTGGCGACAGCTCTAACATTTTTGCATCTCCTGTCACTTTATGTTTCATTGACAATGATCACAAAGACATCCCAGCGAGGATAAACGGCTATAAAAACCTGACAGGGGGGTCTAATTCTTCCCTAGTCAAACAAAAAAAAAATGCCTTGGAATACACTTTTTAAATACATCAAACACAATCCCATAATTCAGATATTTTTAGTGGACAATTAGTAAAAGTTGGGAAATAATATGCTATGTTGTTGAAATCAAGAAGTCAATTTCAACTGGGGATGGAAAATCAGGACTGAAAGTATACCTGAGAGCAAGTGTCTGCTACATCCATCTACATGACATCTACAGTGCTGGTTAGCCACTAGATATATAAAAAAAAGGTACAACTGTTTTCCAGCATGTTTGTTTTTCCAGACGTGGCTTTCAAATTTCTCTTACAGCCCTTTGCACTGCACTGTTTTGTGAAAGTATATTAGACTGCTCTGCTTTATTATCTCTTGTCAAGCGTTATTTCAACTATTTTATAATCTTTTTTTGTGCCACTACTCAGCCAATGTACCACATGAAACTTACACCTGTGTTCACAGCGGAAATTAATATTTTTATAATCAGTGTCCATTATATGGATGTGAAATAAAGAATATGTTTTTTTTTTGTCTTTCATTTTAGGCCAAAAAGGAGAAATGGGTTTTATGGGAGTTCCAGGAATCTCTGGTCAGCCAGGTTCCCCAGGAAATCCGGGATTACCTGGAGAAAAAGGTAAAAAATCTTCATACTTACTGGATGATGTTTTGTTCAACAATGCATTGAACAAAGATTTGACAACTCCATAAAGCAGAGTTTTCACCCCCTTGGTCGACATTCTCCTAGGGAAAAGTCTGACTAGTCTAGAAGGTGCATTTTTGTTTTTAATTTATATTTGATAAAATAATCTAAGTATCTTTTTATATATAAACATGTTAAGAGTTCAGATTGGTGTAACTATTAATATTAATATGTATTATCCTTAAAGACCTTGTTTCTATGTTTATTTGCAATGATATATATAAATACATGGGAATAGTCACATTTGCACCTTACATGCACAGATTTTCTGCTCGTTTTGAAAATGCAAGTGCATGAGACATCTGAATCATGGAAACAATGCATTCCCATGTTGCTGATATCTAAAAGTTAAGACTGGGACAGAATAATTGTACTTAGCCAGTGAGAGCCCCCTTTAGTGGCTTATCAACATATCTTTATATTTAATACAATAACTTAAATATAGTAGTTCAAGCGTGTAATAAAACATGTTATGTAAAAAATTATGTTAAGGTCAAAAATAACTTAAAATATGCACTCTAAAAAAATTAAGTATACTTTTGCTTTTAACCACACAGGCTCTATGGCTGTTAAAAAAACCATGCCAGAATGTAATACGTTGTGTGCGCCTGCATATTCTAGTACAACAAGGATAATTGGCATCTTCAAGAGACACTGTACTATTATTAGAAATCATTTTGTTTTATACAGTCCCTATCGCAGGCCGTTTCAAGGCATCAGTGGGCCCAAGGTATAGATCACTCTAGTGGACCCCACTACCGAGATTTACTTTTCACATTTCAAATTGCAGATTGGGAGATTACTTTTGGCATGAATATCATACAAATAACACAAACAGAACTCACTGGTTTCAAGATATGTTGCTGTATTTAGGTTTTTTAACACAACCTTTATCACAGTCGGCAAAGAGAAATTATATACTGGCTAAGCAGGGTAAGCCATTAGAATGAAGGAAAAATTTACTTCAATAAGTTGACATTATTATTTTAAGTGATTTTAATAGTATTTAAATGTCCTGAGAAGAAACCCAGATGCAACGTTTTCAGTTTTATCCTTATTATGAATATTGTTGCATGTAAACAGATGTAAGCTCTTGAAAATTGAAATGTTTGTCTCTATGGTATTCAGGTGAATCTGGTCCCCCTGGTTTCCGTGGAGAGCCTGGAATTTCTGGTTTTAAAGGTGAAAAGGGTGAAGGTGGACTGCAAGGACCACCAGGATCTATTTCAGACATGGGACACATGAAGGGCGAAAAAGGAGATCAGGGTGACAGAGGTAATGTCTATATTTGGCCACTAATGTGGTGCTGTACACAATAAAGAGCTTGCCAAAGCACTATTTGCTTCTAACCAGGCACTAAAAAAAATGACATCTATGTTTTCAAGTTGTATACTTCATGTGGCCTCCATATCTCTAATAGGTGTAGAAGAATAAAAAAAGTTTAAGTGTAAATGTTGCTCTATTGATTTGTTTCTAGGTGGCACAGGGCATGAAGGAAAACAAGGGACACAGGGTGAAACAGGAGACACTGGAATGCCTGGAAAAGATGGAGATCAAGGAATGCCAGGGAAACAAGGTAAATATATTTTCTGTATATGATATAATTGTGATCTTTTAAAGTATTATTATATCTGTTAGACTAATTTATACAAAGCTGCTTTTCCAAATGCCAAATTACTTGTTTTTTAATTAATCCAATTAATGTAATCCAATTACAGGAATAAAAGGAGACAAGGGTAGTCAAGGTGTTCCAGGAAGTCCAGGCCTTTCAGGTCATAAAGGATCAATGGGAGAAATGGGCCTACCAGGTAGAGATAATATTATGCTTTGTTTTATTATTAAAACACAATTTATATACGTAGGGCCTAGTGGACCAAAAGGCGAACATGGTATACAAGGCACTCCAGGTCTACCAGGTGTAACTGGAATAAAAGGTGAAAGAGGGCTTAAAGGTGAAGAGGGTTCTCCAGGCGTTGGCATTCCTGGACCTCCAGGGACTAAGGTAAATACCATGAGATACATATATTGATACAAACTTAAAGAACAACTCCAGGTAAAAGCTACCACTACTGCAAGAGCTAACTGCTCGTTTTTGTCTAGGTGCTAAAAAAAAAGTTATATTCACCCGAGCCGGCTCCATGTTTTTCTGGTCACTGAAGCGTCTCTCCTCCTAGGCTGCAGCTTTGGAATGTTCCCCAGTGTGTATAGAATGTGATGATTTATGGGTGTGAATGGGACCAGTTCACAATGCTGCGATCCCTTCCAGTCTGATGCAGTGTGATGCAAAAAAGAGAGCGCACGCTCTACTTTTTTTCAGCGCAAAGTAACGGAACAAAAGCAGATGTAATTGCAATGGAATGGAAGTAAAAAATAATACATAGATGTTGGTCCAGTCAGGACATGTTAATTAAAATAAAGATTGGCAAAAAAAAGAGAAATAAATTATAATAATAATTTAAAAAAAAACAGAACATAATGGAAGTCAACAGTGGTTGAAACTGAAGTCAACAGATCCTACATTGACTTGTAATTTCTTCTTTATTTTGGTGCAAAATGGTCCTTAAGGTGATCTGCTAGACCAGGGGTAGGCAACCTTGGCTCGCCAGCTGTGCTGAATCTACAAATCTTGGCTCTCCAGCTGTGCTGAATCTACAAATCTGAGTGGCGGGCTTCCGATGACTGCAATGAGGGGCGGGCTTCCGATGACTGCAAATGGGCAGTGTGTGTGTGCGCACACCGGCCCGTTCAGCAGTTGTTGAACAAGCAGGCCACTAACTCACCCAGAATCGTATGATTCCCGGCGGGTTTTCCAGCCTGCTTGTACAGTAGAAACGGTCGCACGCCTTCCATACACTTTGCGATTCTCGTACGATCGCAGGATTTCTCGCGATTCTCGTACCATAATTGTACAGTGTATGGGCACCTTTACAGGTAGTTCCTGCTCAAAGGCAAAGTTTCACAGCAGATTACTGCAAAAGAAGAGGAAGAGCTTTGCTTATTCCCGGAGTTTAGCTGTAACGCAAACACTGCCAGGCGCTTATGATTATTGGTTTTGCTGGAAGGATTTTCCAATATACACTAACTCAAACAACCACACATTAAATATCTTGGCAAAACATCTTTATTCTGTTAACTTTATGTATAGAATACAAAAATAACAAAAACTGGAAGGAGAAAATATACAAGTTCATTGTTGTTGGGTTTATTTATTAGGTCAGTGCACATAACAGTAACGCTGTTCAAAGTCCAGTTACCCATAAAAAACGATTTCAGTTTATCAGAGTCAGGTTAATGACAGATAACTGCTAGTGGATTATGGGTTGACAAGCTTTGAGCATTACTGGATGTATGAAATCCTAGTTTAGCTGCTTTAGGTGTATGCAAACCCAAAATCTATTTTTAGCATGTTTGGCATCATGTCTTATTGTATAGTTTTCATACGAAAATAGTTTTTTGAGAATCTGTCGCAAAGTTTCTTACCTAAAAATCCTGCCAAAGCACATCCTGTTGCAGAATGCTAAGATACTGCCTCAGGGCCTGTTCACACGACGTCCGTTTTGTGTGCTGACCGGATCCGTACGCTGCTGCATTTAAAATGCATCCCAATGTATCCCTATGTGTTTATGGGCTACAGTTCTCACGTGCGCAGTCTGTTCAGCTTACGACAGAAAAAATACTGCATGTCACATTTTGTCCGGTCCGGAAACAGTCCGGAAACGCAAGAACGTGCACGAAACGCAACGAAAATGGAACGAAAACGCAATGCAACTAAGGAAAAAAAAAATTGTATTCTTGCTCCACTTATTATGATGTTATCAACGATAGACAGACAGGTTGGGGTAGAGGTAACGACATGAACTGCAAACATTTGGAACATGCCCATTACCTTGCCATGGACATACGAGTAAAGGAAAAAAATGTATCCGGGTGACCTCGCAAATCCTCATATAAACTCCAGAACTGACCCTTGGAGTCCCGGAGCCTCAAGATTGGGTGTACCCAATAACGACGTCTCCTGCGGGCTCGTTCTCTGCAGATTGCTGTAGCCAGCACCATCAACATGCCTGCAGACATGTGATACATGTCTGATGACCAGCTTTACATACACAAAGGGAAGTAGATGTTCCGAGAGGGCGGAAGTGACCTGAGAGGCTGAATCTGCATACTGACAGCCCCACGGCTAAAAAAACAAAAAACAAAATGAGCTGTCAGCATCCGGACCAAAAACGCATTAAAAACATGTCAAAAACGCACTGCATCAGCAGCTCCACGTCTGCTGATCAGGACCTGATCAGGACCTGATCTCATGTGAACAGGCCCTCATAATTAGCAGCACATTTGTCACCGTAGTCCTCAATTGAATACAAGTGTGGTGACTTCCTCCCATCCCTGTTACTGAATGTCCATACCCCAGTACAGACAGCGAAGGGATGAAGAATCTGCAGTTGCCAGAGCATTGCACCCATGATTCACTGAATGCGGTTGCAATGCTTTACTGGCTCCAAAGCAAAAAAATAATAAATGCAAATTTGTTCTTTTATGAATCATTTTTTTAATCATTCATTTATGCAGTATATGCCCATTTCCCCATGCTTGACCCTTTAAAAAACCTGCAAGTAAAGGAACATATCTGTTGATGTGCCAGAAATACACTCAGCAAAAAGGCTCTGTTGTGTGTCTTTTTGCTAAACTACTCAAACTCTACCTCTCCCCTAATCTCTGCAACATAGACACTAATTATTCTGTAGTCCAAGATATGAACTAGGAGGGCTAATCAGACTCCTTGGGATAACACAGGAATTGTGTACAGTACAGGACATAGGATATCTCTTAATTTCTGACACAATACAACAGGTTTTTTTGCACTTATCAAACAGATATAAAAAAACACCCCCTCTATGACCTACTCTTGTTCAAAGGTAGTTACTGTAGTGGTGGGTTGTGGTTCTGTGTCAATCCCCTCTAACTCATTTCCTGCTGAGGCAGATCTACTTTCTGTGTGTTTCAGTATTTGACAAACTTGCTTGACTCCATAGCTGACATGGGTTTCTTCAAATGTGCATCAATGCAATGTATGACAATTTCAGATAATGTGTGATGCTGAGTTGTGGTAGGTTATTGTTTTCCTATTTTTTATCTTAATTTAGGAACATGCTAGGATAAATAGTGTTTTCTAGATGGAAAAAAAAAGTTTGTTTGCAGGACTGAACTTTCTAATTGCAAAATTGTGTCTACTAGCTTGTTTTTGTAGTTGGGGTTTTGTGGACAACACAAATCTGCTACAAAACCACATGTTGTGTGTAAGTGTTTTAAATTCAATGGCCATAATACCGTATTAATGACTTCATTCCATGTGATTTACTTACTTTAAAAAAAAAAAATACTGAGAAAAGTGTTTTTATGAATACATTTTACTACAGGGTGATCCTGGAGCCCATGGCCAACAAGGTTATCCAGGTGAAAGGGGTGAAAAAGGTGACGGTGGTATCCCTGGGATGCCTGGGTTACCAGGTGTAAAGGGATCATCAGGTCATTCAGGACTTCCAGGTAAGTCATATTTTCTTACTATGAAAATATTTAGGCAAAGTTATTCATGTGGTGGGAATTTAACTTTATCGGACTACTTTGTATCTTACAGGTAGCCCAGGAATTCCTGGAGAGAAGGGAGCTAAAGGATTCCCTGGACTGGGTGGTGTTTCCGGATCAAAAGGACAACCAGGTAAAGGAAATCCTTTCAACAATTTAGATCAGTATTATTGTGATCATTGGATGGATGGCACTTTTAATTCCCATCCTAGCACTTATTAACATTGGTATAAGCAGGGGCATAACGATGAATCATGGGGCTCCATAGCTGAATGTGGAAAGTGGGATTACTCAAAATCTTGTTTTATAAAACTTTTTAACCATGCTTTATTATGATAAGCATTAGAACATATACATTGACTGGTTTGACAGTATGATGGTTTGTATCCTATGTACCATATACTGTTACAGAACAGCACCATATTTAGATCAATGTTAGCGTGCCAAAACCTGCTTCAAGACATAAAAACCGAAGCTATAATTCACTTAGGTCTTACTGTGTAGTTGCCCCCATGATAACATTCATTTAAAAGGAGCAGGTTTTGCAAAGGAAACATCATTGAGTCTATTCAATAACAGAGTAACAGAGTACATAGTGCTGTAACCTATAGTGTACTTAGTGTAATAACATATAGTACGCAAACAGCTTTCACCTTATGACCCTGGAAGCACCTGCTTCCTGATTCATGTGCTGCATACTAGTTCCAGTGCAATTAATCAGTGAATAGGTTTAGTCTGAGTGTCCCAGGGCTAGTATATTGCACATGAGCTAGGAAATAGCTGCTTCCATTTCAGCCAAGTCACGTAGGTGTCTTGCTATCGTGTTTTGTGACAGTGTAGGTGCAGTGTGCTTTAAAGTGTATGTGAACTGTAACTATGAATTTCTTCTATTTGCACCCTTCAGGTCTATTAAATAAACCATTGAAAGCATCTGTTCAATAAGTTCAATAAGTTAATATAAAAGAAAAAAAGCCAACTGGATCCTGTGTTTTTTTAAATTAGGACAGTGGGAGGGATTTAGTAGTTTTGCAGCAGACATGAATTTCGATTCGGAACGAAACGAATCGCACATGTCTACTGTACAGGGCTTATACTATTTGGTCCACAAAATGCTGTGTGCTGTCAGCCTACAATAAGACGTTAAGAACTAAATACATTTCTGGTAAATCAATAGGTATTTTTCTTTACTTGTAGAGTCGTTAAAGGGAGAAAACATGGGGTAATGTGCATGTTTGGCAGAGATTTGATGATTTCTTTTTGTTTATTTTGCCTTGACATGCAATTTAAATTTGAAAACCACAAAAACCTATCTAATAAACATGTTAGGACAATGCGTATCTTTCCTTCTTACTTTCTTTGAAGCACATTTTTTTCAAAATCATAAATGCCTGTAATTTTCTTTGCTGAGTTCCAGTACTTATTTAGTAAATTGAAAGCAATATGAATATGATAAAAATTATTTTATATTCTTATAGGTGAACCTGGAATTCAGGGACCTCCTGGTTCATTTGGAGAAAAGGGTGAACCAGGCCTTGATGGAATTCCAGGAACACCTGGTGAAAAGGGTGATCATGGTAAGTTAAGATTTGTTATCATCCATATATAAAATATCTGTCAACTGCAAAAGAGCAAGTAATGAAAAATGGCAGTCACTGATCCACTTTCATGGCCCAATTCACTAGTTTCCAGTAAACAATGTTGTAAGAATATCTTAGGTTTAAAGTGACTTTCCTTTGACCTGTGCTGCTCTGTTTGTCAAGTGGGGTAAGAAAGCCCTAGGTGAGCTCTAAACAAACTTCTCAGAACTTACACAGGGCTATGGACTCTTTCTCTGGTCCCATGTTTCAGCACTGGGCCACTCATGAAGCACCAGTGCTGTCTCATGAGAAAGGGTAAGTCACTCACATATTCCACATACCTGGAAGTGCTGGGTATTTCATTTCATTTAGCTTTATAAATTGTATAAAATAATTAAATTATCTCTGGTGGACCTGTATTAAAAATGTGATAGAGTTAGATAACACTTGCAGTAATCATGACAACAAGTGAAGCAAAGCTAGTTGTGTCCAAAGTGATTGACAAGTAACTTAATTCAAACAAACCCAAAGGTACCCATAGATATAACATGATCAATGTTAAACAAAACCCTCGGATTGGAAACAGGCATATGTTATAGGTAGGAACTGGTTAATCCTGGGAAGTAATAGCCCGAACAGCAGTGTGAAGCCTGCCGGAGGTTCGGCTCAGCCGATCCAGATGTTGGATCGGCTGAGTCGAACTCCTTCTGCACTTCGGGTCAGCCGAACATGCTGAGCATGTTCGGCTGATCCGAAGCCACACGAAGCAAGCCGATGTACGGCTGATTTCAGCCGATATACGGCTGAAATCAGCCGTACCAGCCTGAAGTGAATAGCCGAACGGTGTTCGGCTCACTTCACTTCTGATCGGTCATTCACTCGGCTGCCCTCGGCAGCTTTGTGAATAGACCCCTTAGTATCAGATCCCATTGAAGTCTATGGGGAAGTAGGGGTAGTGGAAGGAAGAGAGTCCCATTTCTCTGGGCATGTATCAGGCTAATAGGCAAACTACTGTAAAACAAAGGGAAGCAAGGTACTGCCATATTTGATAAGTACTAATGCAAAAAATATCATACAAGGGGGTGAGGGTTTTTTCATGTGACATCAAGGGTACCTTCAGAAATACAAGAATCCTTTGTGGACAGTCTCAGCAATAGAGTACACTGGCAGCACTTATTTGGCTATGGAATAGATTTTTTTTGGTTAAAACCCCCTTATTGGCCCTTCTAATCCTGCTGGTAATAATTTAAAGACCATATAGTGCATTGTGGCTTTAAAACATTCTCCTGGGAGAATCTGCACCTAAATTCACTGGGACAGTGAATATTGAACCTGCAGGATTTGGCTCCAGTCCATGGTAGCAGTGAACACGAACCTTATCCCTAGTATTAGGCTGACCTTTGCAGGTACCTGAACTTACCAAATGCAGAGGAAGATGCATGCATGGGTTTTCCTTTATGATTCCTGTTGTTCAACCCTTATAAAAATGGCACTGAGGTTACCTGCAGATCATAAACATGCATGCCTAGTCTGTACAATCTACAGCTCAGTTTCTGATCTTACAGTAGTAGGTACTTCCAGAAAACTGTAAAACATAACAATTGGAATCTAACTATTTTGAGAATTTTCAATAACCATCAAAAGAAGCAGATGTCACCCATCTGTACCTGTAGGTGCCCAGCCATGCTAGAGGTAACTGTGCATCATTGCTCTATATGCTATGTTATTAAGTAAAAACCATAACACTATTCAGTCACTTGGCTGTTATGATATCCATTTTAGTGACTGGGTAAAAAAAAAGTACTTTTGTGCATGTTTTATTAATTACAGCCCTAGAAAATTTTGCAACAGATTGATGTATACATATTTATATATTCTGTATGGACTGTCTGGACTGAATCAGCCTATGTCAATAAATATTCTTGGACTGGCCAGCTCTATTTTACTGTGTTTGTTTTGCATGTATTTTTTACTTTTATTTACCTGGTGGGAGTGTTGACTTTTTTCTTTAAACTTACATAATATTGTACACTATCTTTAGGTTTACCAGGAAGAGGCCTGCCTGGATTCCCTGGGGAACATGGTGAAAAGGGTATGATAATAATCAAGGGATAATACTCCAAGTATCTTTCTTAACACTGTCATGTTTTGTCAGTTTAGGTACCACCTAAACAATCTATTGGTAACAGAAAATACAAACCATTTAAGCATCATGCTGCCCTTTGAATGCAGCAAGGCCAGTTATTAAAAAACCTCAACACTAACACAAAATGAAAGTACATTTGTTCTACTCTCTTTTTCATATCATTACAAAAACTTTGTAATCATGTTTGTGATTCTTTACTAAACTTTGAAAACACATATTCTGTATATATTATGTAAATTCTCAACCTAGCCTGGCATCTAGAAAGATGTTGCTGTTGCGTTTTGAACTTGTATGATAACTGTTGTCTTGTTCTGAATGAGTAACGCTAGTGTTTTCAGATTGTATCCACAGATAATTGCAGGCCTGTATATCCCAGGGTTTTTCCTCATCTTTCTCTCACCATAAATGAAAATAAAATACCTTCACCCCATTAGTCAAATAGTAGCTATTCTACTCACAAATCTTTCAAGGACTTGATTTTCTGGGCTAAAAATCTGTTCTTTATTTTTTATCTTAAGGATTACATTTTTCCTTGGAGGGAGAAGTTGACTCCATCTTCCTATTTCTATTAGTCTCTCCATTAGTCAAATTAATAAATAATTTACATCAGTTTTGGCAGTTTGTGACTAATGATCACACATGTGTTAAAAATATTAACATTTTATTGCTTGAAAAGTGACGGGCAAATCTGCCTGGGTTTTATTTGACAAGGCTTCGTGAAAATCTAGTTCGAATTCAGGGAACGTGAACTTAAAGGGGAGTCCTTTTGAAGTCTATAAGGGGTGCCTCTTGCTGTTAAATTTTAGCTATCTTTAATGCTAGTAGGCAAACTACAGTGAAAAGAGGGTCTTTTCATGCAACTTTGAGGGCAATATTGAAAATACATACATACATTAAAAAACATGATTGGGGATGCTTTGAAGCCATACTTAGTGTTATAGAACAGTACCGTGTTTATGGATAGTGTCATCAACAATGTACACTGGTAGTACGTGTCTGGCTGATTTTTTTCAATTAGCCTGGCTAACATACAGCACCCCATTCTTTTCAGTTTGAAAAACGTTTTTTTTTCAGATACCTTTAGCAGTGACATATGTTGTATCATCAAATTATAAAAAAACTTGCTTTGATCAGCAGACAGAAATTGTCCAGTAGTTTACTGGGGCTGTCCCTGTTCTTGCCGATGCAAATTTGTCGCGCTACTGGCCTATTGCTATCAAACTCTCATTCAGAATTAAGGTACTGCAGATGATTCAGCAATGTAAAATTGCTCAGCAGAAGGACAATTTTAATGAGAGAGAATTGACTGAATTGTACTACAGAAAAGGAGTACAGGCAGGAGAAAGAAAGAAAGAAAGAAAGAAAGAAAGAAAGAAAGAAAGAAAGAAAGAAAGAAAGAAAGAAAGAAAGAAAGAAAGAAAAAGAAGCCATGCAGCAACAAAAAAAGTTTGCCGTGGAAGGGACAGAGGCTAAAAGTGACCTCTGACCTCAAATCAACCACAAATAAAACTCCCAATAAGAACAAAAAAGACAGAAAAGGGGCTGATTGCCCAAGGAGCTGGAAATAATAATAATAAACAAAACTACAGTTTCCTAACTGTCCTCCCTACCTATGCAGTTTGTCAGCCATGAGTGCTCTGTGTCCCCCTTTATAGTGAAAGAGCTGGCTTAACAAAAAATTCCCTTATTGGCCCTTCTATGCCTGCTGACCATAGTTCAAAGGTCATGAAGTCAGGTAAAGTTTTCAAACATCCTCCTGGTAAATCTGCACATATATTTTCAATCCCACAGTGTTCACCCTTGGTAGGGGCGAACCCAAACCTTATCCATATGCTAGAAATGAATGAGCTTGTTGTGAAAGTTTTGCTATCTTATAAGAAATATTATCCAGGAGTAGCTCTACCTTGCTTTATTAGGCAACCCTTTTTCTGTAAAAATGTATGCCAACACTTTTGACAATGGGATAGTTTTAAAGAAACTAAGATAATTGTTATAACAGGTTTCAAAGGTGAAGCTGGTTTACCTGGTGCACCTGGCCTCCCTGGCTTTCCTGGCCTTAAAGGTGATCAAGGGTTTCCTGGCAGTGAAGGACTTCAAGGGCAACCAGGTTTTCCTGGACCTCCCGGGGTGGCAATGGAAGGTCCAAAAGGTGACAAAGGACTTCAGGGACCACCTGGATTCCGTGGTAAGAAATACTGAAAATGTTTTAAAAATACAGTATATATGGAGTCTGAGTTGTCAGTCCCCACTCTTGCTCAGCTCTTGAAAGTGTTTCTGTACTGTTGGCGGCTTCTACTTACTATTAAATGCTTATTTTGCCAATGTTTCTGATGCGCAACATGTCTTAGTGCTGTGGCCATGATGCTTTCCCTATATTGGGTCATATATGCTTCCCTAGCATGTGTTTTTACTGCATTTTTTACCCTAACCCAGCACAGTTGTGCTTTCCATATATGTTAAAGAGAATCCAGTAGAGAGCAGATTATACAGCATTTTCTGCCCTGTGCACTTGTGTATTGGTTTTATTTTTAGCCTTGCCAGAAATCTTTTGACCTTGGTCCTAGACAATGGTATTCTAGCCAGAACAGATTAGTCAACTAGGGAGGGACTGTTTAACCTATTCTATGATGTTTGTGTCTTATTTGCTTTCAGTCTGAATAAAATGTCATCGTTTTTGCAAGTAACATAATATATAATTGACTAAGGTGCTCCGGGTGCTGTGGGCGTTCCTGGCCCTTCAGGACATGATGGATTGAAAGGAGACAAAGGAGAGCAGGGTTGGCCTGGAGCTCCTGGTTTCCCGGGAGTGAAAGGTGAATCTGGAATACAAGGTCTACCTGTAAGTGATAAACACTTTTCATATTTCATTCCTTTTCAGTGGCACTAAGGAGAGACCTCATGACTTTCTGTTGATTACTTTAGGGAGATGCTGGTACTGCAGGAAGAGAAGGCCAAAAAGGTGATGTTGGTTCCCCAGGATTTCAAGGGGTTCCAGGTAATCTATCTATCTAATCCACCTAAAAATTATAAACCCTGTATTATAATAGTATAATATAACAGTTCTCACATTGCCATTTTCTAAGGTTTGAAAGGTTCATATGGACCCACTGGAGAGAAAGGAGATTTAGGACATCCTGGGGTACCTGGGCCTAAAGGTATTTTAACTATATTTACTTCTGCTTGAGGTTAATGTGCAACTGTACTTGTTTCCTGACATTAGCAGTCATATGTATGTTTTAATGTAGATGAATTTCTCCTTTTCATTGTGGCAAAAACTAATGAGGCATCCAGTGCTGGCATCTGTATACCATTTGTTTTACAGAGAGCACAAAATATGTTTTGCAGTAAGCAGTCAAATCTGTAGTAATAAAAAAATATCTGAAATGATGCATCAACATTATCCAAATCACATAAACTTACAGCTAAAGTATATTATATTTACATGCCACTATTTAATAAGTCATTTGCATCAGCTGTCAAATGCCAGAGCTTTTACTGCCTATTAAGTATTCTGTCATTTGATAGATAACTGTCAAGAGACAAGGTTAGGCATCAGCAGAGAAAATGGCTTAAAGTGTATGTATAGGCAAAACGTTTGTTTTTTTTGTTTTTTTATAGAGTAGGAAAGAGTTATAAATCCTATAAGGTTGTCTTGGAGACCCAACAGGAAGTGTGAATAATCCCCCCCCCTTCCCCCAAAATGAGGGCAAATTTAATCTTAAGCAGTTGTCACCATAACAAGTGTGTCCATTGAAAGATTTTCCTCACCGTTTGCCACATCTATACATGAGTTTGCCAGGTTTCACAAAATCCATGAAAGAGGTTAACAGCTCGCATGCTGAAAAAAGTGGGGCTATGTTTCTAAAATGTTGCACAATGCATATAAAAAAGTTGAGGTGTCGCTTTTAAATTTCCAGTGAGGTATTGTTTTTTTGTATATTAGTTTATGAGTAAGGGAATGTCCTCCAGGTGTTGGAAAAACAGCGTAGGCTGCAATACTTCAATCCAGAGCTGTCCTCCTGCAGTAATTCCATTTTGCCTCAAGATGTCAGTCCTGAAAGATTGAGGACATACTGTGAGTGCAGGGTGTCATGAACCCATCTCCTTGTTAATGAAGCAGAAAGCAGTACTGACATTACCACGTCAGCTCCGCAGTCTGCATCATTAAGGACAATCTAGCCCAAAGGAGAAGCAAAAAGGAAAAAGACCCAGAAGATCACTTGACACTAAAACATGAAGACATCTGAAAAAGGTAAGTATAAAAATTATAAAAATATTGCCAAGGGGCCTCTAGGAAGGGAGAAAGGTGATTATATAGTAGATTTAGTTACATAGTTACATAGTATTTGAGGTTGAATAAAGACATTAGTCCATCAAGTCCAACCTATAGGATCACTTTTTTAGGAGTACTTGTACCCCTGTATATTACTGTCCCTTAAAAAATCGTCCAAAAGTTTCTTGAACAATTCCACGTTTTTTGCTGAAATCACTGCCTGTGGCAGTGAGTTCCAGACCTTAACCGTTCTAACTGTGAAGAACCCCTTTCGCCCCTTGTGCTGGAATTTTTTTCCCACCAATTTTAGGTTATGGCCTCTAGTTTTTGTAACGGAGTTAATTTTAAATAGTTTATCGCCAATGTTGCTGTCACCATTGAACATTTTGTACATGGAGATCATATGCCCCCTTAATCTCCTCACCTCCAATGTGAACATGTTTAAGTTTACTAGCCTTGTCACGGAGCTCTGGTCCTCCATACCCCTAATTAGTTTGGTTGCCCTCCGCTGGACTTTTTCCAGCTCAAGGCCATCTTTTCTTAGTACTGGTGACCAGAACTGGACTGCGTACTCCAGATGCGGTCGAACCAATGATCTATAAAGTGGCAAAATTATAGACTTGTCCCTGCAATACATCCCCTTCTTAATACAGGCCAAGACCCTGCTAGCTTTGTTTACAGCAGCCTGGCACTGCAAGCTACCTTTCAGTTTGTGGTCTACAATGACCCCCAAATCCTTCTACCATTTCTGACTTCCCTAGCGGCACCCCCATAATTGTATAACCCATTTGTTTATTTTTAATTCCAAAGTGCATTACTTTGCATTTATCGACATTAAACCTCATCTGCCACATTA